CCTCAAAGCTTGACAGAGCCACATTTCTGCACATGGAGATGCAGCCAGTGGCTCCGGTTGGGGCAGAAGCCCTGGGTCAGGGCCTGAAACCTCTTCTCTGCCAGCTGTTGTCCTTGAACTCTTTCCATTTGTGCATGTGAACTTTTTGGGCCAACCTGGGCTGAGGCAAGCCAGAGCATTAAAAAGTTATTTTGGACAATAACCTCCTTGGAGATTCTGAATGTTAAACTCTCCAGAAGCAAGGCTTCCCAGTTCTGGATACAGTAGTTTAAAAAGAAGGGGGGAAAGGGAGGGAGGGGGAGGGCAGTAAAAGAGAGATGTGCTCGAATAGCAGCACAGCTGGTTGAGGCAGTGCAACATCACAGGGTGGGTGCCGTTCCTCTGGACCTCACTGGTCTGGGGAGAGGAAGGAGGCTCTGAGGGCTTTCCAGAAGAGTCAGGCAAAGCAGCCTGGAAAGCCAGGCACTTCCTAGCTCTACATAAATAGTCCCATAGAAGAAAAGTCATGCTTCCCAGTCTTTTGGGAGAATTCTGTAGGAGGAATTGTGCCAGCCTGGCTCACAGGGAAGGTGTTGCCCCACAAGACACTCTGCTCCTGCAAGCAGACTTCAGAAGGTGGAGGGTTGCCCCCTGGGCTGGACATTGTGCCGCTCTGGCATGTGGGGGATGCTTTGTTGCAACCAGCTGTTGCTGCCCAGCTGCTGAGGAAGAACAGCTTCTCCCAATATCTGTGGAATCAGGAGGAGGCCCTAGAGCCCTTTGGCAGCAGAGGTGGCATGCCTCTGGTTGATTGCAAGGGAAGGCCTGGCTCATCACTGGCAAAAACTGCCCTCGCCACCGCAGCCTCTGGCAGAGGCGGGCAGCTGAGGGGGGAAGGGGAGTAGGGTAGACAGATTTCTGTGGCCGTTGCATAGGCAGCCTGGATAAGAGCTCTTTTGCAAAACTTGGGGAACCTGCAAGTGCTTCCTTACAGGGCAGGAGGTGGGCAGGGAGCAAGGCCTTTCTTGCGTCCAGCTACTGCAGGGACACTCTTGGGTCTTCTGGTGGGGGAGGGAGCTCCCAGGCAAGCCCCTTTCCCTGTGGGTCTCTCACTTCCACCCCAAGTTTGCCTACTTGTTTGGGTGGGTTTCTCCTTCCCCATCCCCACCACCTGCTTCTTGTTCTCTGCTGCTTTTGTCTGAAGGTACAGGGTCTTTCTGAGCCTAGGTTGGCACAACCCACTGGGCAGTTATAAACATGGTTGGCTTCTCTCCCTGCACTTCCCCACACATGAAGCAGAGCTGGCTAGAGCCACAGAAAAGGATGCCGGCAGCTGGGCTTCAGAGTTTTGTTCAACTTAGAAGAAAACGAATGCACCGCCTGCAGAGGAAGGAGTGGCAAGCAATCTCTCTCTCTCTCCTCCATTTCCAGGCTGCTGGTCTCTCTTGTGTCTGCTTCCCCCTGCCCCACACCTCTTTTTCTTTTGCCTGACTCAAAAGCTTTGCTCAGATGTGCAAACTGAGCAGCTTCTGCAAACACTGAAGTCACTTGGGGAGCAGGGAGAGGTTTTATGTAGAGACCTCCCCCGCAGCTACCCACCCCCTGGAAACAACTGTTCCTCCAGCTAAAGGGAGCATCAGGGGGAGCGGCTGGGGAGTTTTGATTCATTTGTTGTGTTCCTGCATCTTTATTCTTTCTGCTGAACTGAAATCCAGGCAGGGTGGGGGTTGTCTTCAGCCCCCTTTAACCAGGTTAGAGGTCCTTCTGCCTGATCAGGGCTTTGAGGAGCCACTGCCTGCCTGACTGAAGGGTGGCAGCACATGGTGATTGCCATAGCCAGAAAAAAATATTTGGATAACTCAGTTGAAGACATTTGGGCCAGACTTTGCAAAGGGCGTTGATCCAACAGATGTTCTGAGGAGCCCTTGAATCCTAACGCCTTTCAAAACTATTATTTGCTATCTGGTTCTATTTGTGGGGAGGAGGAGAGTGATTGGGGACACACATGGTCCCAGTGGTTCTGGGGCCAAAGAGAAAGGGGGACACATCAACTCCAGGCAAAGGACAAAGACCACACTGATTAAACAGGGGGTTCAGCAGTTTGGACCACTTCTGCAGTGAGGCTTCCCCAAGGTGGTCCAAAGGGAAGCTGGGTCAGCTGAGAGCTTTGGATCCCCATGGGAGCCTTGTGGGCCTGCACACCTTACCTCACCAGCAAACAGGGTCTTTTCAATATTTAGCATTGTGGCTGCAACCAAAGCCAGCATTTACTTTTAAATCCAGATGTGCAGGGAGCCTAGGCCTTGCCTGAGAGCTGGCTCACACCTCTGGGAGTAGTGGCCAAAATCCTCACCCGCCCTGTTCTAAGGGAAATGCTAGAAATCTGGTAGCAGGGACCAGCAAGTACAGAGATTGGGATCCCCCATGCAGCCTGTTGTGGGAGGATAAAACCTGAACCCTCAAAGATGGCTGATGAGGAAAAGCTCACTCCCCTCCTACCTCCAAGACCATGTTGGCTTCTGCATCTGTTGCTAGGCTCGGCTTTTTTTTTTTTTTGATGTGCAGCCTTTACTTTCCCCCATGCATGGGGAATGTCTGTGTCTATAAGGAGGGGTGAGGCAAAAGGGAGGGGGCCCTGATCAGTACAAGCAGCCATCGTTGTGGTTTTACTAGTTCCCTTTATATTACAAGGGGCCTTACTCCCCCCCCTTTGAGACTGCATGGCAGGCACATCATAGCTTCGCGTTTCTGATGGACCGACAATGCAACTGATGTTGAACTGAGATTTCAAGCACAAGCCCAAATAGAGCCCATCCATCCCTGAGCCCAGTGTTGCTATAGAAGTCCCAAAGGGCCCAGAAGGTGTTGGCCTGTGGGCTCTCCCACATGTTTTAGCCAGCTGGCACTGGCGGCCCTTGGCTTGTGCTTGACAAGTCGGTGGGCATGAGCCTACACAAGTGGCAAAGAGCACCAGATAGCTAAAGCAGCAAGGGGCGCTGGTGGTAAGCTATTGCTTTCTTGGCCTTGCCTGTCTGGGTCCAGTGAGGTCTGTCTCCTACAACTGGGCTACTTACTGTGACCAGCAAAGTATACAACCAAGATTCCCTCACCTCCTTCCGGTGTTCCTTCACTTGTCTGCTGCTTGCTGCTTCTGGAGTCCAGACACTCCCTCCTGTTTTTAGGGTTCAGGTGCTGAGCCTGTGTTGTTGGTGTTCCCAGGCATATCTGTCAAAGAAAACGTTCCTGATATCCTGCCCTCCTTTTGCTGACCTCTTACCTTTGGTTGCCTTCTTCCTTCTTTTCTCTAGAGTGAAACAGACTTGGAAAAGGGCCTGGAGATGAGGAAGTGGGTGCTGTCTGGAATCCTGGCCAGTGAGGAGACCTACCTGGGCCACCTGGAGGCTCTGCTGCTGGTAAGGGCCATGTATGCCTGTCACAGAAAGCGGTGTTAGTTTCAGGGCCAGCCTGTATATCATTGTGGGATACAATCCACCAGGAAAGTCTTTTGCACATAGCCCATGGGCAGGGCAGGGGAGTCAGGCATGGATGTTGCAGGGCTGGTGTGCATGTCATGCTCCTTTGACTGGAGCCCACCCAAAGAACTGCCTTGAGAATGCTTTGCAGGGAGGCAACAGTCCTTCTGGGTATAGGTGGTGGTGGGGGCTTTGTTCTCAGAATCTGGTTCCAGATGGGGCAATCAGAAGCCCTGGGATCCAGCATGGGGGGCAGGGAGAGGCCAGGAGAATGCATTAGGTGTGTACACACACACACACGTGTGGGCATGCTGCCTGTGAACCATGGCTGAGTGGTCCTTGATTATTGTTTTCCAGCCCATGAAACCCCTGAAGGCCGCAGCCACCACCTCCCAGCCTGTGCTGACCAGCCAGCAGATTGAGACCATCTTCTTCAAAGTGCCAGAGCTCTTCGAGATCCACAAGGAGTTCTACGACGGCCTCCTCCCGCGAGTCCAGCAGTGGAGCCACCAGCAGCGGGTGGGCGACCTCTTCCAGAAGCTGGTGAGCCCCACCCTGTGCATCCCGCTGGCTGTTTGAAAAAAGGGCCTCTCCACCCCTACCCTGGTTGCCCCATGGCTGTCCTTTGTCACAGGGTCATGGGGCGTGGGGGGGGCTAGGAGAGATGGCAGCTGGGGTGGGGGAGATGTGTGGGACCCAGGAAGGCACCCAGGTGGGAAGGCTAGCAATAGTCCTGCCCTGCAGATGGAGGTGGTTGAGTTCTGTGTCTTGAGAGTAGGTCAATCCCCTCCAGGGCCACTAGCATATCTTGGTGTGTGTGGACTTGTGAGTCTCGGCTGGCAGGTTTTGCCTTTTGTCTTCTGGCTTTGTTTTCCTTGCTTGCTGTGCTCTGAAGTACATGGAGGCACATGAGGGAAATGATGCCGAGGCCCCTGGAAAGTCTCCTCCTGTTCTCCTCAATGCCTGCCATTCTCCCCATCTGTCCTGTTGAACACCATTTTGCTGTTGTGACTCATCATCCTGCAGCCTGGGGAGGGGGCACAGCCCCCTTGGCTGTCCTGAGAAGTCCCTCCTAGTCCAAGACGCGTCCACATCCCTCCAGTGTGCACAGGTGCAGCGGGTGCTTTCCTGTGCAGGGAGTTCCACTAGCAAGCCTTGGAGGGAGGGGGCCTTCGCACATGTCACTTTATGGAGAGGACTCTGGCCACTTTCTGGGGATTTCCCTTCTCCATCTTTCTTTCCTTTCAAAGAAGCAACACTGTGTTCCTGAGGTGGAATTTTTTGGCAAGGGACCTCTGGTATTATGGGACCAGTACCTCATGCAGCTCTGCTATCTCCTGTTAGTGGATTTTCCTGCTGCTGCAGCTTTTCTGAGCCTGCTGGAGGGGTGGGAGGCCAGGCCTGTCAGGTTTGCTGGGGGCAGGGAGCACTGGAGTGGGGGAGAAGTAGGGCCAAGACCCCTGGCAGCCAGAGGGAAAGACTTCAGAAAACAGCCACTGTCTTCTGTGACACAGCTGGCAGAGGCCTTCTCTCGGGCCTGTTTAACACAAATGGCAGTCATGTCCAGGAGGAAGCCTAACCCTCAAAGTAAACAAACTGAATTTCTGTAGAACCAGCAGAGAATTTGAAGAGGGGGAGCTTGTTGGGTAAAGGAAGGATTATGAAGGGGGCGCTTTTGTTGGTGAGGTGTTTCTGCCTCTTCTCCTGGAAGCACAGGCTCCTGCAGAGAGGGTGGTCTAGTTGGGGCTGCTCTTGTAAGGCAATGTGCCCAGTCAGCGGACTGTGGAGGAGGAGAGCTGCTCCAATGTTCAGACCTGCTTGGAACATTCTTGGGGATTTTCTGAGCTCAGTGGTTTGCCATCTGGCCTGGAGTGTGGCTTCTGTTTCCAAGTCGGCAAATGAGATCACAGCTAAGTCCCCACGGTTAAGAGTGGTTTATTCTGGGACTTTTGACCCTTGTGTTGCTCTCCTGCAGCCTCGCCTCCCTCCTCTTTCAGACAGCTGGGTTTTGCTCTCCCTTTGGGCTGCTCAGACTGAACATCCTCACAGGGCTGTTGTGAAGGTTCCATGAGAGTGGGAGGATATGTGTGGAGAATTCAACCTTGGTTCCCTGGAGGATAGCAGTCAAATGAGTCTTCCATGTTAATGTGTCTGGACTGTGTGCTACTCATCTGCTGCTGGTGTTTTTCAGCTCCCAGACGTGTTCCAGAAGGAGACAGTTTAAAGCAGAGAGCTGTGGCTTTTCCATGCAACTTAAAAATGCTGGAAGGGTAGCTCATAGCCAAGGGCTCTGGCTTGTATGCCCCTTGCCCTGGTCTCTGCTCTTTGCTTTTCAAGATTTGTGGGCCCTTGGCTTGTGGCTGCCTGAGGGCTGTGGTGTTTTGTTTGTGCTGCCTCCTCTATTTTCCCTCCCCAGTTGAATCTTCCCTGCCTGAACTGGTCCCTGGGAGCTCTTCCTCCACAAATTGGGATATGAACAGGACTGCCTCTGGCCATTGAGGAATGGGGGCATGTATATGAATGTGTGTGCATATGTGAGTGCACAGGTGCTGAGCAGAGGAGGGGACTGATTATTGTTCCTATAATTTCCGATGGGGGAGATGATGCAGGAGCATCTCCAGGAATCTCCCTTTGTCCTTCTTGACATGTTCTGTGTTGTGCCCACGGTGGGGTGTGGGGAAACAGTCCTCTTCACTCCTCCTCCTTCCTCTCTTGCATTGCTTTCCTCTCCCATTTGCTTCCTGTAGGCCAGCCAGCTGGGAGTCTATCGGGCCTTTGTGGATAACTATGAGGTTGCCATGGAGACAGCAGAGAAGTGTTGTCAGGCCAACGCTCAGTTCGCAGAAATCTCCGAGGTAATGCTGTGATGCCAAGGCATATACGCCATAGAGGCGGCTGTACCTCCATCTGCTTCGTGGGCTTGGATGGGCCCTCGGGAGGTGCCTGTCGTTGCTACCTCTTTCAACTGTGACCTGCCCCTCCCCCCCGCTCTTCTCTTTTTGCAGGCTGGTGGCAAGAAGGAGGGTCCCCGTGGGATTCAGGCCCATGGATCTTGCATGTGGTTGCTTCAGAGTGGTTAGGAATTTGTTCTTGTGTCAGGGTTGACTCTGAGCAGGACTGCATAGTAGCAGAGGCTGTCTGCAAGGCTGAATGAAGTTGTTGGCCATCTTTGCTGGGGGGGCTTTTAGCAGTCTTGACATTGTTGCTCTGCTGGGCAAAGCTGGGATACAACAGTTGGTATTCTGCAGTGATATTGCCCTAAGTTAAAGGGATGTGAGCAAGTGATAAGGAGTCCCACTTGAGACACAAGGATTCCCATCCATCAGATAGAGTGCAGGTTTCATTAGTCAAAAGGTGGAAGGGTGCTCCTGAAGAAGGGTTTATTTCCTCAGCCATGAGTGTTTCTCAAGTGGAAGTGTTAAGGCTTCAATTTCCTCCAGGAGGGAAATCCTGTTGACAGGAACAGCTTGTTTGGGCTTCCCTCCAAAGGAACCCAGAAATGCCTGGATTTTATGCCCTGCAATGCAGTCTTTGCTTTGCTACATGTAGCTGGGTGCAGGGTAGGAGCACAGAAGCTGAAGAAAAGGCATGTAGCTGGGTGCTGCCAACAGTTTGCATTTGGGCCCGTTGCCTGGTGTTTGGGTCCACACTATTCCCTGGGGCAGATTCTCTGCACCCCTACAGGGTAGGAGCACAGAAGCTGAAGAAAAGGCTGAAGACTCAATCACTGCATTAGACAGAGGCAATCTTAGTTCTGAAGCAGCTCTGGAAACTCAGGGGTGCAGAGAGCCTCCTCACCTGTCTTATGTCCCCTCTTGGTCTCCTCAGGGTTACAGGTATCTTCATGATTCTGAAGAATTCTTTCCCTCCTTATTTTTATCATGGCATTAATTTCCATGCAAGGAGAAACCTCCTCCAGCCCCTGTCCTTAAAGGCCATTCCTGGTCCTTCATGACCCCCCTCCTAACATCTTCCCAGAAGTCCATGGCTTACTGTGGCTGTATCAAAGGAGAGTTCTCTGTCCTTCCTCGTAGGCCATTGTACTGAGGATGGGAAAGGTTTAAATATTTCTCCTTGCATCTTGGGTGTAGGTCTTTGTCTCTTGTAGATGCTGCCTCCTCAACAGCAAAATACTTCTACTGGGAGGCAGTGAGGGGCTATCCTCTAGCTCTCTCCAATGCTTTTCTAGGAATGAAGATTTTGCCTGTTCCAGCCACCTCCCAAAATAGTTACTATCTTGTAACATGACAGGAGTCTCTGCTCTGGCAACCAGCCTGTGAAAAGCAACATCGGCTTGGTGCAGTGTCTCCTTTTTGACCAATGATGTGGCTTGTCCATGTGCCATGGTTGTGGGCTGTGGGAGCTTGTTTGAGCTTGTAGGGAGCCAGGTTGTGATGTTTCTCAAACTGCAGAGAAAAATGAAGGTATCAAATCTGTTTTCCACTCTTTCTTAGAACCTGAAGGCCCGGAGCACCAAGGATTCAAAAGACCAGACAACTAAAAACTCCCTAGAAAGTGAGTGGCACAGCTCAGATTCAGAACTGCACTGCAGTCAGGATGGGGCCCCTCTGATTCACGGGTGGAAATTCGAAGCAGTCTTGTCTGTGGGTCCTGTGGATAAGCAGATCTCAGGAAGGGCTAGAATAGAATGCAGAGGGGTGGCATTTGTGTGGCAACAGGAAGGCTGTGACGTTCTGCCCTAGCAGCCCAAGGGGATGAGGGGTTACACCATCCTGCCTGCCAGTTGCCCAAGGGGCTTTGCAAAGGGTCTCATAGTTGTTATGAGCCTCCCTTTCTCCTGACCAATCCTTGTGTGGCTCTGAAGGCAGCTGGTGAACTTTTTCTCCCCCATCCTTTGTTCTCCTCAGCACTCCTCTACAAGCCAGTGGACCGTGTCACACGCAGTACCCTCGTGCTCCACGTAAGTTGCTTTGAAGGTCAGCGCTGTAACCGTCTCTGCAGGCAAGGTCAGCATCAGCACACAGCTCTCTCTCTCCATGTTTGGAATTCCCAAACTCTGTTTGCAGCAGGCAACAGCAAAAGGGATTGAAATCTGGCCCAAACATGAGCACCGAAGCAGCAGCTTTTAAAAAAAATTGTATGTATTCCCAGTGTGATTTGAGACACTCAGAATTCCCCTGAAAGGAAATGTAAATCTTGATGCTTGATATACCACTATTTCTATGTGGGTTTTATGTTAAGAGTCTACAAGAGGGCTATAATCTCCTGCTGTTTCTTTTTTCCCCTGAAACTAAGCTGAAAAGGTTAATATCAGGTTTCCTCTGGGTAGTGATGGTGGAGGAGGCAGGAGATGACAATGCCATCACTGGCAATTTCATAATGGGTTATCAGCTGCATGAGAGGTCTCCATGCCACATATTTGATATAGTGCAACAAAACATTACACAAAACTGTATTAGAAAACAGATAAAAATAACTGCACATCTGTATAAGCATGAGAGCTAGTCCAGATTGGGAAGCCTGGTAGATTTTCCATGGCTGGATTTTGCTAGGTTTTGATGGAAAAGAAACATACTTGGACCTCATGTCAGTGTTGTCCCCTCTTGCACCTGGCACGAGGGGATTTGGAACCTTCAGAGCCATTCACAGCATCTCATCTTCTCCAGCCTGATATATCTCTGTTCCAAATGTTCTTTCTTCTATCTCTACCCTCCAAACCCCACCCAAAGTATCCTTCTTCCAAAGGGCCCTTCCTTTCCTTCCAGCCTTCATTTCTCCCTCTCTTCCTCCAAAGACTTCACTCTTCATGGAACCTACATCTGTAAACAACATTGGTTCACATGCATTCCACCTCCATTTCCTCCCTCCCTCCCACCCATGATTTGTCAGCTCCTTCGCTGTTAAAACTCCTTGGGCAAGGTAACAGCAGTGCTCTTAATGGTGTTTGCATTGATGATGCACAAAGGATGTGAGCTGGAGTAAAGAAAGTTTTGCCCCAGGGTGAGTCTCTGTGCCTCTTTTGTGGAGACCTATGAATTCAGCAGTTGCCGTCCCCTGAGGGTTTCCTTTTCCTTCCTATTGATGATGCAGGATCTGCTGAAACACACTCCATCAAGCCACCCAGACTACTTGCTCCTGCAGGACGCCCTCCGCATCTCTCAGAACTTCCTTTCCAGCATCAATGAGGAGATCACACCCAGGAGACAGTCCATGACCATACAGAAAGGAGAGGTAAGTTCCCAAGGGTTGCCAGCCACAGGTGGACACTTGAATTATGTAAAGATAGTCCTGTGGCACGCATTTATTTTGGCATCAGTGTCCACACACACTGCCCAGTCCTTCATCAGATGCACAAGGTGTTACTTCAGGTTGACACCCCCTCCAACCCAGATGTTCTGAGTATAACATGTTCTTACATTGGCTGAGTTCTGGGTGATGCAGACTGCTAAGGTTGGAATGGCTGATGCAGGCCATTGGAGAATACTGAGCTGAACGGAAGGCCAGCTTGGAGGGAGCCTGGTTTCTGGCTATTGTATTGTTGCAATTAGCCTGGGGAAGAAGGACTGGGGTTCTGGTTGTGGGTCAGCAACCGAGGCTCTGGGCCTCCTGCCATCGTCCTGCCTCAGTCTTAGTGGCCACCCCTCACAGGCAGGTGGAGAGGAGGCAGGATGTGAAGTGCTTTCCTTCCTATGGGCATGGTTATTTTTGCAGAATGATATATAATAAGATGCTGAAGGTGAGATTATGGGATGCTGATTAAACTGTAACTGACGCTCCCAGCTGGCAAGGTCCTGGTGTGTGTCTTGTGAGTGGGTATGAGTGTCTCTGGCTGGGATATGCAGGCTTTGAAGAGATCCCTGCAGCATCCTAATGAGCGGGGAGGGAAAGAGGGAGGGGGCATTCAGCCTCTCTGTGGGGCACCCTTTCTTTGCCACAGTTTACAGCTCTAAAAGGCTGGCGGGAAATGGCAGCTTGCTAATATTTCTGGGAAGGAGGTGTGCTTTGCTTCCTTACATGTGGGATGAGAGGGGGTCTTTTCTCCCAGAATCTTAATTTCACAGGCTTTTCTTTCTCATTCTCCCGCAGCTGCCAGGCACTGCTCTTCATTTTGTCCCTGGAGGTTGTGGGTGGGGCGACTCTGCTTTACTCGGCCTTTCTGCACTTCTGATGGTTCGGCAGGCATGTACTTTGAATCAGCTTGTAAACTGGGGTGGGTGTGGTCAAGCAATGCATCTAACAGCCCAACCCAAATGTGCCACCACAGCCTGGCCATCTGCCTCGCTTTCTGCCCTTGCATCTCTCTCCATGCCACTGATGGCAAGATGCCCACAAGCTGATATAGGGGAAGCTGAAATGGTGAGGCTTTACTTACATCATGCTTTTTAGGATCATATGCTGTGGTTTGCGAAAATGCTTTGTAATCAGGTACATACAATAACAGGCACTCTCTTGAGCCTGGGAAGAAGCTCTGTTGAGCCACAGTGCTCTACAAAAGAACAGGCATGGCTAGGCTGCTTCCTGCTGTTGTTCTGGTAGGCTTCTCCATCTCTATCTTTAGTAGACACAAGCCACCATCCCCTCCTTGGTGACTGAGCTGTTATGGAAGCCTCCTTTGTGAGCTGATTCCCCACTTCTGTGTTTCTGACCAGAAGTAAAGAAGACATCACCCCTCATGCCTTTCAAAGTTCAGTCCTCACCCATCCCTACTAGGGTTGGGAATGGGAGAGAGTCAGGAAGGTCATCTGAAGGGCTGACTCAAACAAGTATGTGCCATTTTCAGCAGATGTGGGAAATATGCGCTGAAAAATCTTGGTTCCTGTTTATGCACTGCATCTGTCAAACTCCTCACTGCTCAGAAAGTTGGGTTGAGCACAACCACATCTTAAAAGGCTATATCTGTGTGTAGGGTGTAGCAGTGTAGGGATGTTACTCATTCACCCAGGACATTTCCTGGTTCCCACTCTGAAGGGTTCTGTGTGCTGGCTCTGTAAGCAACTCCTAAATACACACTCAAATTAGTCTCCTGTTGGCCGGTGGCAGGTCAAAGTAGCCTCAGGCTTGCTGAAGCTGTGTGGATACCCAGTGCCCAACACAAAAACAGCCTTCTCTCCAAGCAGCAGACGTAATGGAGAGGTGTTGATGAGGTGGGTGGGTGCATGGATATATCAGCAGTGCTGCAACAGATGCACTTGAAACATAAGTCATCTGGGCATCAAGGTCTTGAACTGGTGCATCTGAAACACACAAGATGGGAAACAGAAACCCATGAACATTTTGCTTGTCTCACTCAAACAAGGACACTGGCACCCAGAGGAGGAGCAGTGCATCTTTGCATTCTAATTCATAAGCATTTGTTCTTTAAAAATATTAAATGAGGATTTGGTATTGTTGAAGAGATGCTTTGCTTTATGGCTCTGTGCAAACACTCCTTCCCATGCACTTCAGAGGTGGATTGTAAAACGTCCCCCTTGTCTTTGCCTGGCATCTTCAATCCTTGGGGGCAAATGAGTATAGAGAGATTGTGGAGACACTAATGCAGGCTGGCATTGTGGAGGCCTCGGCAAAGCGGGTGAGGGGGGCAGGGATTCTCCTCCAGACTGAGCTCCCTGATGGCTTCTGATGCTTCCTGTTGCCAGCCAGCAGTTCTGAACCTGAACTTGGGCCAGGCTTTGGCAATGCTGCCTGAAAAGCACATTTTGCAAGGTGGTAAATGCTACTTGGGTGTTTGCATCTTCATCGTTCTCTCTCTTTCTAAAAGCTACCTCTAAAGCAGGTATAAAAAAAATCGACTTGGGCTGCCCAGTGTTCTCATTTGGTCCAGACGAGTATGAAAAGTCTGAGCACTGAATGGATGGGACACTTATGGAACTGCCTGAGTCCAAATCAGTTTTGTATGGTTTTGATGAAATGTTACACCCTGTTAAGCAAAGATGGGTTAGGACAAGGTGGGGTAAATCTAGCCCAGATTCCATCCTCTTGGGAAGCATGGCCCGTGAATGGTTCATTCACAGGACTGGGGGCAGAACTGCTGCTGTTCAACTCTGCTGTCCTTTAGGGATGAAATTCTGTTAAATCTGTGCCTTCTGCCTTGCTCTCTTGAGCAGGAGAGAGGTATTTTGTTGCCTTTGTTAGAAATTTTACTTGGGTTCTGTGTTGCTGCTTGTGTTGTCTGCTTTCATCATCTTGTGGACTGTGTTGACTATATAATGGGAATGCCTGTAGAGTCCATCACCTGGAATGCTCCATCCAAAGGTGTCTGCTGCCCCTCCCCCGGTGAGCTCACAAAGAGCTTTCAGCAAATATTACATTTGGATGAGGCTGTCTTCATGTGTGTGAGATCATGAGATCTACATCACTTTGCTGAAAACTGTTCTTCAGAATTATCCCAGATCCAAAATATTACTCCTGGGAATTCAAGAAATTAACCTGCAGTATCTCCTTTGAGCCTCGTGTCCTGGAAAGTGTTCACAATACACAGTTTGATTCCTCTTTAATAGGTAGGATGCTGTCCTAAGAAACTCTGAGATTATTTGTTTGGCGAGATACATAGAATTTTCTGTTAGGAAGTTTAGGTGCAGTCCCTTGCACTGTAATGGTTGACTCTTTGGCCTAGTTTTTTCTCTCTACACCATAAAAAAACTCAAATCCCTAGTCAAAGAGCTTTCTTAAGTCCTTGAAAGCTTACTCCGAGCCTTGTGACATCTTTATTGGTACTCAGGGATGTGTTGCTCCATAGATGTTTGGACTTCAGCCACTCCCTAGCATCTATAAATCTGTGTGGTCAGAAAGGGGGAGGGAGCATTGCTGCCAAGTCATGGCCCTGCACAGGTGAGGTTTCTGGATAGTTTTCTGCTGCCCTCTGGTGGTCTCCTTGATATCTGACAGCAAACTCACTGTAGGCATAAAAAAGGATTGTAGAGAATTTTTGCCTGTCTAGCGAATCCCTGAAAACAGGTACAAAGCTAGCAATGCAGAGAAGGTCCAAGATACAGGTGGGAGCCTCTGGGATGGTCCTCCTCTAGATGACCTTGATTCAGGCCCTGTGGCTGCTATGTGGAAGTGGCTTCTATGGACAGGGTGCTTGACGTGGGAACAGTAATCAGTGCAAGCTGCTGACTGTCCTGTTGGAGGGTCTCTGCAAGTATTTCCCTAGAGTGTGTGGGCTGGTGTCACACAATTCTGGTACGGGTGTCAACACTCCTCCCTCAGCAAACAGGAGACATTTTGTGAGCTGTTTGGTGTCAGTCCAATCCTCTCATTTTGTCAAGTCTTATTACTATTGTAACTGACATGGAATCCTTTCAGCTAAAGACATTCAACCACTGAGAAAGTTTAAATCTTGGATAATTTGTCATGGAATTTATCTGCAGACCCCAGGACTTATAATGAGTGAAAGCAGAGAAAGAATTTGCCCTTCTAGGCCTAAGTCCAAAGTTTGGTCCTAGATACTGCCCAGTTTCTCTGCCACTCTATTGAACTGCACTGCTCAGAATTTTTCTGGGATATATCTTTAAAATGGCATCTGTCCTCTACAGCAGGGGTCCTCAACCTTGGGCCTCCAGATGTTCTTGGTCTTCAACTCCCAGAAATCCTGGCCAGCAGATATGCTCCACAGTGCCTTTTCCCACACTGTCTTCTCTCAAGGGGCATTCTTCCCTGTTTGGAGGGGAAGCCCAGGAAGATGCAGGCTATTGGCTCTGAGGTGGAATGGCAAGCACTTGGCAGATGGTTCTTGCAGATCAGCTTTCCAAGGACATGGGTCCAGACGAGCTTAGTGTAGCACTGGAGAGTTTAATCCAGTGAAAATACTAGGTACATAGCAAGGTAGAAAGCACAGCACTTCTCACTCTGGAGTCATGGCCGCACAGAAGCTAGTGATACCATAATGACTGATTTGGCCTGTGGTTGCCTGCCAGAGAGGTTTGGCTACTGGTGTCTGTTCTTTTGTAGGCAATTGAGGAAACAAGGAGCAGACTTTGTGGCCAAGGAAAAACAGCAAAGCAAACTCCACTGGTGGTAGGGTTTCAGCTGTTTCTTTGGATACTTTGCTGCTCTTGCCGACGGAGCCTTTTAAATTTGAGAAGCAGCCATAGCCATGTGTGCCCATGTATGTTGAGGGAATAGCCTTTATCTCAATGAGCTTTTTTGAGGTTCTGGACTCTTCTCTTGCCTTTCACCAAATCACATTGGCAGAGAAGCTCTTTGGACAGCTGTTGATGCCTTCACAGTGGAAGGGACATTCAACACCTTGCTCTGAACTTTCTTTTTTGTGGCAAGGAAAACTTGTGCTCTTGGTCTAGCCCTGGTTGTTTGCTCCTCTGCTTCTTGGCGCATTGGCTGACTGTTGTTTTCATGCCCCATGTTTTCTACTCAATATTCCCCTGGTTTGATGCCTGATGTACCTTCTGACCTACTACTGAATTATATGGGCTCTGAACAGCTATGATTGAATTCTCCCTCTGTTGAATCACTCAGGAATCTGATTTGGCCCTCTGACTCTATGTTGGTGCCTCATCCCTTCAGTTGTACAGCACCTCTTTCCCATGCTCGACTGGATAGGGCACATGCACATCTTTCCCATGCTTGACTGGATAGGGCACATACAGCAGTCCTTATCTAGGACTTCTGTAGCTGAAGGCCAACTCCTGTCCCTTCTCCACCCAAGTCCTTGCTTCTGACCTTCACCTTCTTCATTTGCTCAAAGCTGCTTTGTCTTTTTTGGCAGCACCGTCAGCTCCTGAAAGACAGTTTCATGGTGGAGCTGGTGGAGGGAGCCCGCAAACTGCGCCATGTCTTCCTCTTTACGGACCTGTTCCTGTGTGCCAAGCTCAAGAAACAGATTGGAGGGTGAGGCTGTCTTGTGTTTCCTCAGGAATGTCTGACTGTGTGGGCCCAGGACATAAAGGGGTGGGAAGAAAGCATGTCAGGAAGAGTCACCTGGGACGACTGATGCAGCAGAAATGTGGAAACGTGGAAAGAGAAAACTGTGCATCTGCTGACATGCCTGCTCCCTTCTAGACAGTCTTCATTTTCACACTGATACCACAGGAAGTACAGGCTGCAGTGCCATTTTGAAAATCTATAGGGAGTTAAACAACCAGAGTAAGCAGAGGGGCAGGCTGGTAACCCTCTGCTTTCCCACTCTTGTAGGAAAAGCCAACAGTACGACTGCAAATGGTACATTCCACTCGCAGACCTGAGCTTCCAGATGGTAGATGATTCGGAGGCTGTGCCCAGCATATCCCTTGTCCCGGATGAGGAGCTGGACGCCATGAAGATCAAGATTTCACAACTCAAGAGTGACATCCAGAGAGAAAAAGTAAAGCTGGAGGGATGGTGGTGGTGGTGGTGATGAGTAATAATGATGCATTAACATTAGTGTGGAGGTATTTGTGGCAAAACCAAATCTTTTGGCACCTCAGTTAGACATTTTTATTTTGCATGAGCTCTGATGGAATGCAGCCCACTTTTTTGAAAACAAGACATGGTGTTTTTGGGGGCACATTAACAAACTTGCCAGCAACTCAGTCTAAGAGGATGAGGAATTCCAGCTGGTCACAGCTATATTTCTAGCAGTTATGCAGCCTCAGCAGTTGCTTAGGATAAATATGCTAGCTAAGTGAATGTGTGCCAAAACAGCCTCACCTGTGGCCTGTGGGTGTTCTGGGCAAAGCTGGCAGCTCTCCTTGTGCCACAGAAAATCCATACCCAGAATGAGTGGCAGGATGTGTAGGAAAGTGATGTCTCCAAGCTGCTGCCCCAGGCACTGTTGCTTATCTAGCATGGAGCCAGTAGTGTTGGCAATCACAGCATTAAGAATGCCTTCCTTCCCCAGAACAGCATTTTATTTGGTGCACTCAAGTTTGTTCATAGGAGTTCCAGGATTCTGGTGCCAGAGGACCTTGTGCATGTAGGAGGTTCAGTTGAGAGAGGGAGGGTGCTGGCTGGAGGGACCAGTGATGAAATGGGGGAAGCATAATGCCAAGGAGATGGCTTGCACCAGCAATGTGGGTCCTTTTGGGAGGGAGGGAAGGGAGGGAGGGAGAGAGAGAGAGAGAGAGAGAGAGATGTTAATGGAAATGAAACGCTGAGGTTCCTGTGTCCATCACAGGGATAGGACGTGATGGCCTCCTTGTCTGTTCTTCCTTCAGAGGGCTAACAAGGGCAGCAAGAATATGGAGAGACTGAAAAAGAAGCTGTCGGAGCAGGAATCCTTGCTTCTGCTTATGTCTCCAAACATGGCTTTCCGAGTGCATAATCGCAATGGCAAGGTGAGAGGCCCTTTGGGTGTCTAAAAATGAGGTTTGGACAGGGTAGGTTTATAATTCTACTCCACGCTACTTCATCATTAGGCCTTCTATGTTTGCGTCTCCATGGGATGTTGTCCATGAGTTTAGCTGCAGTCCCGTGATCCTGGAAACGAATTGGAAGTAGAACTTAGGTGTTTTATTTCGGACTCCCCGCCAAAAAAAGTTCAAGAGTCTTTCAACCACAAGTGCTGCATGCATATGGGGAAAGCAGTATTTTAAAGGAGAACATTATTGCTTTGAAAGGCTGTGACAGCTCCTGATGTACTTCCAGGCTCAAGTCAGGATGATGCATAAATCCCCAGTTTTTTGAAATCTGATGACCTCCATGAGGTAGTAGACCTTGCCATGAGACATATTAGTTTTTTTCCAGCTTTGGGACAATTGCAAGAAAATGGCATCCGCTGTTATTCATTAATGTAAGACTACGATGGAGTTTTGTATGTGCAGAGTTAATAAGCTATATATCAAAATCTCCTTCAAAGCAGTCCAGTATTTAAACACATTTTCATATTTTGGTCCTGGTCATTGTCCTTTTTGGTCCATCTTCATTTACACCATCTTCTTGACAACAGTTGTTTGCACAATGTTAACTGTTCTTTTCAGTAGTACTGGGGGGGGGAGAGACTAGATTGGTTTTAACTTTGTTTTACAGGTTAAAAAAACCCGTTTGTCTTCAAGATGCCACAATATTTTCTGTTTTGAAAAACATTGAAAGTTTGAAATGTGCCACAAGACTTTGCTTTTTATTTCATTTTGGTTATCCATTTTCACTTGATTCCAGTTTTGGAGGCTCAATTATGTTGTTCAGTAGTTTCTGGAACAGGATTTGAGTGAGTTGATCCTGGTTAGAGTTCTCCCTTTCTCCCCTTTCTGTTGCTAGCTGTAGGAATCAGGAACACTTTTCATGTCAGCACTGTAAGTGTGCATGCATATGGTGCAGGTGGTGGTGTGTAGTGTTTTGCAGATGGAGGACCTAGAATAACATCAAATCAATTCCCTACAATGCAACTGTTCCCCACATAAAAGTCACATCACAAGACTTTTGGGCTTCATGCTTTCAGATGTCTCCTGTACAAAGATACTGGTGTTTTTCTGCTGATCCCTCCGTTTTTCCTCTTGTGGCCCGGGAGAGAGAAACTCAAAGTGCTTGTGTTTCAGATGTTCTTAAATGCTGCCATTTTATAGTTTTAGAGAACAAAGGAATAATTATGTCAGATCCATTTAAATTGGACTATGTCCTCTCTCCGTTTTTGAACTGGACTGCAAGTCTCATAAGTTCACACCACTGGACGTGCTGATAGGGGTTATAGGCAAAAAAAAAAATTAAATTAAATTAAATTTAAAAAATTAAAACACTGGAGAAGCCCCAGTATCCACCTCCTTATTAAAATGATCTGCAGAGATGATGATCTTGCATCCTTCACAATGATTTTTGCATGGCTTTTAATAGTGTGGGTTTTTTTTCTTCCTCACCAGTTTGCATTGAAATGTTTGTTTTAACCTCAGAAAAGTGCATTATTGCTTGCTCTAGCCTTAAGGCTTGTTCTTCACAATGTCTCTGCCTGGCTTGTCTTCACTTTCAATAATTCTGTATTCACTGACACTTGCAATGTTTGAAAGGGTGCATTTTGGAAAAGGATTGGACTTTGTTTACAAAAAGCTGCAGAAAGAACAGTTTGGTTTGTCGGTGCAAAGGGATCAGCATTGTTCAAGGACACTACTGAAAGCAATCCTGGAGATTTCTAAGATGATATCATATGGGGGGGGGGGAAGCTTCAAATGAAGGAATAACTTCATTTGAAGATTTTAGGAAAGAGGGATGATCACGTTTATTATTTCTCATTTCCAAATATTGTTGCTACTGTCTAGAGATGCAAACCTCATTTGAGAACTGCAGATTTTTCTGATGATAGATATACTGGGGAGCTAGAAAGATTAACCTAAATAACTATACAGAAGCCTATGGAATCTCATAAAATTAATACTCCAGTCCAAGAACTATTGAAGTCTATTAACAAATATTTAAAGAAAAGATTATGCCACAAGTTTTACAAATTGCTCCATGTTCAGTGTGTTATAATAGTCTAATCAAAAGATAGGTAAGAAAGGCATGGATCATTGTGGCTAAGCCCAACTTCCCTAGGCAGGGATGCACTTGGTGTACCACTGAAGTTGGGCAACAGCACTCTTGACCACTGCTGTCACCTGACTTTCCAGGAACCATACCTTCTACATCAGGATCTGCTGTGATTATCCAATATACAGTGGTGCCTCGCATTACGATGTTAATTCGTTCCAGTGAAATCGCTGTAGAACGAAAACATCGTAAAGCGAAATTAAAAAGCCCATAGAAACACATTAAAACCTGTTTCATGCGTTCCGATGGGCTTAAAACTCACCGTCCAGTGAAGATCCTCCATAGGGTGGCCATTTTCACTGCCTGGCTTGTGAGGAATCAGTCCCTAAACACAGCGGGGAGCCATTTTATTTACCTGGCGGCCATTTTGAAACAGCCGATCAGCTGTTGGAAAATCGTCGTTTTGCGAAGAATCGGTTCCTGAAGCAGGGGAGGTCATCACAAAGCGAAATTCCCCCATAGGAAACATCATTAAGTTCATCGTAATGCGATTTAGTCATTAAACGAAGCGATCGTAATGTGAGGCACCACTGTAGTGCCAGAAATTGTCATCAGATAGTTTTTTAGTCAGGTCGTGAAGCTTCCTCATTTCTAAAATACTATTTCCATTTGTGCTGCAATTAGCAAGTGATGCAAAACTTTAACAAGGAATCAAATATCTTTTTTGCCTTATTATTGCATTTCCCTAAGTCAGTCACAGACCTTTACAAGGCATTGTGTTTCATCCTGCTTAGAGGAATATAGTGTGACCTGTTTGACTGGCTTTTCAATGCTTCTGGACAATTCTGGGATCTTTCCTCAGATCCACTATATGTTTTCAGATTTCCTCATAGCCCAGAAGCTGAGCAAGAAAAAACTGAAAGTAACCTTAGTTATTTTGGAGGGATTGTTGCAAACTTTGAAGATTGTTTCATGGAATAATGAAGTAGAAATACCAGTAATTGCTTGATTCCAATTTCTTCTTACAATTTCTGATAGGAGAATGCAAAAAGAGCTTGATGAAGCAAAATTGTTGACAAGCCAGAACATAAAACCTAGCTGCTGGCTAAGAGCCCAGGGTCCTGTAACATTCTGAGGGCTCTATGTGTTTGTATAGGGCAAACAGTTGGTTGTAGACCATGGTAGGTACCTACCTGCCAATTATGTATATATTTTGTCCTGTTGTTGCTGAAGTCATGTATGTCTTTAGGGGTCAACTTGAGAGAGTTTGGGTCTTCATCTAGATTTTTCAAACCCAGGGATCCTTTTTCTTTATGCATTTTGAAATATATCTTTTAAAAACTATTCCAGCATCATCTGAAGCAAACAGCCTGGTAAAAATGCAAGCATGCATATGACTGGTATCATTCATCTGGGACACCTTTTCACAGTGCATAGACCTGCACACATAGTCACTCCATTTTTTACCAGTTGGCTCATATAGTTCTTTCACTTGCATATGATACACTGACGGATGACAGATTATCTTTATACTAAAGTGAAAACTACATCACTGAGATTTTTTCCCTACAGGAGTTCACACATTTGAATCCCTGCTAGGTTTAGGCACCAAGTCACATTTCTCTGGACCTGTTTTCAGGAAGACATTTCAAGAGTGTTGAACTCCTGGCTTGCTTGAGCTCCAGCCTATAGCAGTGTTATAAAACTATGAGTGCTCTTTTTTGTGTGTCCAGGAAAATGCTGTTGTTACATTAAAGGAAGCTGTATGAGCAATGTGAGCTTTGTCTGGTCTCTCATGAATTAACATATTTTGTGGGTTTTTTGCACTTTACCTTGAGAAGTTGAACAAGACTTTGCAAGATAAATAAACACTCTTTCTCTTTCCTGATCACTCAGAGCTACACGTTCCTTATCTCATCTGATTATGAAAGAGCAGAGTGGAGAGAGATCATCCGGGAGCAGCAGAAGAAATGTACGTATTCTTCCTCTGACTCCGGTAGCCAGCAGGACATCCTGGAAAGAGTGAAATCAGGCCGTGTCCTGGGACTAGATCTTCTGCACATCTAAACTTGTTTCTCTTTGGATCACTACATGTCCCTCGAGCATAGGTGTGGGGGCTGGCGATCTGTGGCAGTAGAGTATAGCTTGGTTTCGACAGAGACAAGTCTATTATGTACCTAAACCTTCCAGCTGCTTTTCTGGCCCAGGAAGAGCATCCCACTGATATTCCTTCTGAATCCACTGATATTCCTGGAGGTCATATCTTCCACCACTCCTAAGAGTAGGTGGGCAACTTGTTGTATTGGATGATGGTTTTTTGTTCCAATAGCTGCCAGTGGATTCCTGTAAGTAATGGTTAGCTGGGAGCTTGGAATTATAGTTATCTGTTCCCAACATTCTTCCTCTAAATAGAGTTCTTTGTAGAAGAAAGGGGGTAGACACGAGTGGTCTAAGCTTTTGCTCTCAGTGGTCTTCTGATCTTCATGAGTTCACTGACTTCATTCTGATAGTGGTTCTTTTCTGAATTGCAGGCTTCAAAAGCTTTTCACTGACCTCAGTGGAGCTCCAGATGCTGACAAATTCCTGTGTGAAACTTCAGACTGTGCATCACATTCCCCTTACAATAAACAAAGAAGGTAAGAACTGTCGAGTCAGCCTCATCTGCCATCGCACCTAGTACTGGTCTACTTCTCACAGTGGACAGCACAGGAAAATTTCCAGCTGGTCACCAGCATAATCTGCATTATTCCACAGCATAGGGTGTTCTCAGCATGAAGTAATTTCTAGCGTCATGCTTGGGGTTGTTGCACCTTGTATTGTTCCTCCTGGGAAAAATCATTGCTGCTGTTCCACCTTGAAAAGGAGCAGGAAGTGAAGAGATTACATGTAATAAATTCTTGTTATATTAACATATTTAGGGGATTCTGTCAGTATGCTGAGAGTTGTTATTTCACTTCTGTATGTTTTTGAATGCAGATGATGAATCTCCTGGTCTGTATGGATTCCTGAATGTCATTGTCCATTCAGCCACTGGCTTCAAGCAGAGTTCAAGTGAGTTATAATTGCATGGCAGAAAAGAGAGAGAGAGAGAGAGAGAGAGAGAGAGAGAGAGAGAGAGAGAGAGAGAGTGTAAAAAAGAGAGAGGCAGAGAGAGTGCAAACAGTTAGGAGTTATTGCTCTTGGTGTAATGCCACAGTTAGCAACTTAGTGAGTCTCCTATGACAGTTCTACCCTCTTCTCCAAGTGGGACTTTGGGTGCTCACAAGAAGCTACTGTTAACATTATAGTCTTTGTTATAAGGGGGAAGGAAATTAATTAGATTTCCTGCAATGAGTTACTATGGTTTTGTGATTTCATTAGCAAACCCATTCACCAAATGATTTTCATTTACCAAATTACAACTTGTTCCCCAAATTCAATGGTTAGCTCAACAAAGCCAAATTCCAGTCCCCAAAATGGAAATCCAGCAGCATTCTGCTAAAAATGCTATCAACTGAGTAGTCTTTTTTTATGTTATTTTCCGTCTGTCTTGTTATTTGGACATACAGTGGTATGTGCAGTTCACATAGGTCAAAAGGTAAAGTCATTATGAAAAGCAGAGATTAGCATCTTAAAATAATTTTGTTTGTATTTTAGAGGCCTGCCAAATTAAAAGAACATTTCTGGCTGCTGGAGAACATTAGATTAGGTGCCAGGCAAGTCTGCCTGGAGAAAGGACTACATAACCAGGGACCCACTTAGATGCCTTCAACAATACAGATTGTGGTGGTACTCTGAGCAGATCATCTGAGGTCCAGGCAGTATATAAGGTGTTCAGATACTTCAGATACTGACTTCTGACATATTCAATATATCAATAAGAACTGGTAAGGGCTTTGTAAGAACCAGAACTCTGAATTCAATTATGAAATGGATCAGGAGCAGTAAAGATAGTATTATATTGGCATAATTATCCATAAGGTATGGTTATGGTTGTATGTCTGACCAGCAATCAACACTTTAAAGGGTGAATCCATTGCCTGACACTGATCAGTGCAGCCATAACAGGTACAGGTGATCCTAACTGGGTTGTTGCTTGTTTATCATCCTTCTCTTTTTAGACCTCTACTGCACCTTAGAAGTAGATTCTTTTGGGTACTTCGTAAACAAGGCAAAAACAAGAGTTTACAGAGACACATCTGAGCCAAACTGGAATGAGGTAGGCAGTAACAGTCCCTGGATTTCCATTGGCCACTGCTGATACACAGGGTGGTGGGTCCTGTTTGTGCATGTTCCAAAAATGCTTTCTTGTGTGCATTGGGGGCTTCCTCTTGATTCCTGTGGAAGGTTTCTATAACAGGTTAATTCTTAAGTAGTCAGTGAATTCAATCTTCCCGGAGCAGTCTCTGTATGAAGACTTATAACAATGAAAATACAGCTGTCTAATTTTGGAGTTAATATGGCAGTGCTGTCCCTCCCATTCATTTCAGATTAGACTTCTTGGTAGAGTCAAAGGCCAGAAGGAAATGTAAAAGCACATCACTCAGCTACATCTTGCACAAAAAAGAGAATCATTTTGTGCCATTGCCTGTTTGGGCTAATGCTGAAGGCTAATATTGCTGCTGGCACAAGATGCTTGTTCTGTGAATTGTTGTGTATCTTCAGGAGCTCCTTGTGGGTGATGATGAACCTAGCAGTTCTTCCATTAAAGGAATTTTATATTTTTTTAAAAAAACTTTCACCATTTTATTCTTGTTAAGAGTAGTATACAGAAAATGTTTTACTTGTACATAATTTCATAAAAAGGAGCTCTTGTCACTAGTAAATCAGAGTGAGCACTGATATGACTGCTAAATTCACTGAATAATCACACACCGGAGCTCTTGCCTGAAGCAGCAACTCACACAGGGCTTGAGCTAATTCACAGGCTGATCACTGATGGTCTAGAACAAGAGGACCAACATGGGTGGTACAATTGTTATATCACAAAGCCACTGATAAGATAGTCTTATAGGAGTTTGTTATGATTCCTAAAGCTTGCATTGAAATATTGCTTTGTATCTGTGTGTGAGAGAAGATATACAAATCCCTTCAAAATCTGCTCTACAATGAGAGTCACTGCAATCAGAGAATCAGTTCAGTATCATTCAAGACTTTCCTCCTCACAATAATAGCTTAATTTAGTTCAATCAAATGATAAATATGTAAGAATCAATAATACAAGTTTCCTAATAACAGTTTGAAAATAAGGGCACATTTAGAGTCAAATTGATCAGGCACTGTTCCTATTTGCCCATCTCCCACCCCAACAATCTACGCAGCACAGAATGCATTTTAAGTTACTTGTGACTCAGGTTTGGCACTGGGAGGGAAAGTGTGCAGAACTGAGCAGTAGGAAAGGAGCTTTCATGAGACTGCTCTTCTGCTGACTTATGATTCTCACTAGTTTCAATATTCTGTCTTCTGTCTTTAAAACTACTGTAAATATTTGACTTCTTAATGTATCTTTAATGAAAATGTTGAAATTGCTGTTATCTTTCCTAGATAAGGTGGGGGCTGAGCCCAGTCCTATGAGAGGCAAATCCTTGTGTCAGTCATCTTAACTCTCTTATTGTTTACCAGACATGGACCCAGTCTACCACCCGTGCACAGCTCTTATGGAGAAGGCAGACATGAAGTTTTGACTAATTACCTGGATGTTGGATTTCCATGGTGCTCCTTCCATTAACTCAGCCAATGTACTCTTTCTGCAGGAATTTGAGATAGAACTAGAGGGATCACAGACTCTGCGGGTCCTGTGCTATGAGAAGTGCTATAACAAAACCAAGTTCACCAAAGAAGATGGAGAGATGACAGACAGAATTATGGGAAAAGGCCAAATCCAGGTGGGCTGTTGCTATCTATTCCTTTCTAAAAGCAAGCTAGTTGCCTCCAGCAGTTGTGTTTCTTAAAAGATCCTTAGCGGGACTGAGAGATGACAGAAAGACATGAAGCCGGGAGTTCAGCACTTTTCTCTCTATGCACTGCAGCTCACCTGTATGCAGTGCCCAAGCCTCATGCCGCCCCAGTGGAGCAATTAACTAATCTCTGCTAAAAGATTCCTCTGAAAAAAATAAAACTGCTGCAGATGGAGAGTGAAGATGTAACCCTTTCCTCCCCGTGTGATAAATGTCCAGCTGCATGCAAAGAAGGCTTTCAGAAAAGGCCTCCTTTATGCCAGTAGGGTACTTTTCACAAAGGCTTATGGTTGCCTGGAAGATCACAGTGAATACACTGTAACATGGGTTATGGGGTACAGTTCAAGCAGTTCTTATTTTGTGTATCCTCACCAGCTCCCTGGGCAATTCAGTGGGTTTAGGAGTGAGGGCATCATCTCCTAAAGTGTAAAGTTATCTTGTCTTGAAATGTGATCAGTTTGATCTTTGTGTGCTGATGCTGATATTTACTGCTCTTTAATCAGTAGCCAAGGCCCAGTTGTGAAGAACGAAGTTGGATAGAATCCTCCTGTGCTGGTCTTGCCTATCTTTGCATTTCTGAGTATCTCTGGGAGTGTTTCTCAAACTATGAGACTGAAGTGAGTGAACCTCACTGCCTCTTCATCTGAATAAACCACTCTAGTGCTTGTTTGGCCATAAGGGTCTCTCCTTGGAGAAAAGCTAGTTGTATTTCCTTGGAATTGATGGGAATTTACAACAACTTCTAGGGATTCCACCTCTCACTTCTGGGATTTGAGAATCACACCATTCTTTCTGTTGCTGGTGAAGAAGCAGTGAGTCTAGGCAAATGGAGCTGAGTGAGCACTGTTTAAACATTCCTGCTTCATGCATGCTAAATAAGAGGAAAAAAACCATTAGCAAAGCCTGTGTGTCAAGGCAGAGGAGTATTCCATGGGCACTAGCAGCACAGTATTTCCTGTTTTGTCATCTGCTCTTTGTTTGGAAAACTGTGTCTTCTTTGTTCAGGACACTGCTTGTCAGCGAGCAACAGATGCTTCCGCAATATTTCTGCACCACAATTTATGTGTGTATGTTGCAGGGAGGTTTACTAGTCCTTTGAAGCCTTCCAGTTTTCCATTCCCACTAAAAATAGCCCCAATTCACCATCAGTCTATATTTGCAGATCATTTTTCTTTAGCACGAGACGCTATTGGAAGCTAGAATAGGGAGGTATGTTTCTCTTCTAATCACATATCACCTCCCCAACTTTTCTGCAATGCTTTCATGTTAGCATGTTATTCGGTCCCTGGTTTTTGAGGTAATCAAAGACTCTCTTATGTCTGTAGCAAGAAAAACAAAGGAGGCCTTGCAACTTTTTGGCTTTTTCATACTGTATTCTGAATGAGGTAAATGCTGGTTGGTTAATTTAAAATTAGGGGCCTGCAGTCAGTTTCTTTCTACTGACAACTGTAACTTCTACTTAGTTTCAGTCCATTTGGCTCAACATCTGGGCACTTTCAAAGGTGAACTGCTTTTATCCTCTGTGTGTGGTGCTACTTGCTCAGCCCTCATTAAAATAGCTCATATTATTTATTCTCCTCACTACCGTAAATATTACTGAAGCTGTTGGTAGCAGGATTGTCCAGGGCTGCTCCTGGAAATCAATGTGATGTGTAAAAGTGTTGTTTCTCTGCTCCACTTCTTATATCATCTTGGTTTTTCCTTCATCTTGGCAGTTTCCCCAAAACTGCCAAGGGAGGGAAGTTAGGTGGAAACTGTATCCTGATACTGGGATAAAGCAGTGCATTAGCAGAAGGATGGTGAACCTCATTACCCAAGTATCCATATGAAGCTGGTCTTTCAACATCCTCTTGAGTGAGGAGAGGCAATGTCGAAGTGTGTCTTCCCTTATAACCAGAGTGCACTGCCATGGTCAGGAGAGCGAGACAGAGTAAGAAAGCAAACCATTGGGGTTGGAGTTTAGCATCAAATGGTAGCTGACACTTCAGATCTAGCCTACAGAGGAAGGTTTCAGCCAAGCTCCTCCATTAGACATTTTTGAATACAGCTGCAGAGGCATGATTAAATTGTCCTTTAGTCGCTGCACTATTCAAGCAGTTTTTTTCTGCTGAATTAACAGGATACTTCCTTCTCAGAAAGAACATCCAGTGAGTCCAACATGAAGTAGAGGTTTCACAATAGGTGGAACTCCAAATGCTTCAAAATCTCACTTTCATGTCCATCATGATGAGATATGAAAGTGAGATCTCTGGGTTCACAGCATTCAGGTTTGCGCAACATCTATTCCATATTTCTGCTTCAGTATTTTCCACTTCTCCCTCCAGTCCACACTGTGTGATATTCTAGCCCCAAATCTCTGCACGTTCCCTCCCCATCTAATGACAGGCATATCTGAGCAGTATTTTTTTTTACATTTCCAGACTAACTGTAGACAAGTGAACGTTTTCCTGCAGGTCCAGGCCTTTCTTTCTTCTCCTTGGTAGTCTAGGTGGGTTTTCAGTGTATATACTCAGAAAGTCTAGAACCTTATATTTGGGCAGAAGCATACATCCGTAATGTCAAAGGATCACTACATTCAATAGCTGGACTAAAAGTATATTCAGTTTGTCATGCCTGACGCTGCATGTGCGTAAGTGCTTTCTGATCCTATTCCTTCGTGATTTCGCCACTATTTACAAGATGTTTTTTCAGAGAATCAAACATGTATTGGGATCCTGATTGCCCAGTAGCAATCCAGGCATTTTTCCACAAGCCCAACACTTCAGTGGTGGCTTTGATGGCAGTCCAGGTGCTTGAAGCCCTTTCAAAAGGCTGAATTTTGTGTGGATCACAATCTTTCACATGGAAGAAGTTAATATGTGAATCCACTGAAATGCATGGAGGACATAACTGCTGCTCTCCCGTGATGTATTCTGTTTTGCTGCAGCAATTTGTATTACCAAAAGCTTCACAGTGCCCACAGCAGTACCGTATGCATATCACCACCATTTCTTGTTTCTTTTTCAGTTGTTCCTTAGAAAGAAAAAGCTTGTTGTTGTTTTATTTCTGTCCACCTGAGAAACAGCAAAAGGGGTGGGAAGGGAAGTTTGTTTAAATATAGTGTTGGTCACTGCTGCAAAGATTTCTTCACACCTCTGTCAGTTATGCAGTGATTTAACACAGGCATCAAACACTTCTGTGTTGTTCAAACCTTCTCTCCAAAGAACTGAATGTAACATTTCATAGATTTTTTTTTCTGGCTAGTCAGGAAGGTGTAAAGCCAAATGAAGAATTTTGTTTTTTCTTTGCTCCCTGTTGTTTCATAATTGAGGCAAGTAGAATCACTTAGCAGACTAAAAAGAAAAATTGACAACCAAGTTGCATATTCCATAACACTGTTCTTCCAACCAGAAAAATGCACTGTATCTTGTTGCAGGATATCACCATTATGATCATTTAACACCATCTGTTTAGCATGATGGTTAACCAAATATCTGTGATAGCTGCTAACTAGCACAATGAAAGGACTGAAAATGTACAGGAACCAGTGCAGTATGTTCCAACTTCAGTAGTTGTCCAAGCAAAATATAGAGTATGTGATTCAAGAGAAACAAAAAAAGTTCCAGTATGGATTCTCCCCAGGTCTCTTCCAAATGGGTGACTCATCTGAGATTTCCAGTCAAGACACACTTTTAATAAGCTTAAGATGTTGACACTCTGTCCTTCCGTTTGCTGTCTGATTTTTGTCTTGATTTGCAGACTGGGGTTGCCTGGTCTGTCTGCTCTTATCTGCCACCATTCATGTTTACCATGGAAGTGGCTATCTGGAAAGCATGGTGGAATAGGACGCCAACTCTTAGAGAATTTAATTCATCTAAACATGTATTTCCTTTCTAGTCTTTTGTCATTTCTTCTGGTTAGCATTATCAGGCCTGATCTTTCCTCCTGAGAAGATTCTGTGGAATATTTTTCCAAGACTCATTCTTGTAGCTATTTATTGTTTATATGCTTTAATATATTTGGAAGAAGTTGGATATTGTGTTGATTATTATTAGACCAGCATGTGTGTTTAAAGGGTCTCAGCCTTCAGGTTCAGTATCTAGAACCTGATTCCAAACACTCAAACTGTTTCCTCATTATTTAGACAACACTTTGCTTTAATATTTGTCTATACAGACCAAACAGCCTGGCCTGTCAGCAGAAGGAGCAGTGGCAGAGCATTGTTGTGCTTTGTTGCTTTTAAATATGTTTTTAGTACTGACTCTATTTAATATAATAATTGTTTAATTCTTTTTAGCATTTGTGTACTTCCTGTTTTTAGCTTTTAAATATTGTATTTTTAATGGTGTAAACTAGATTGGGTCATTTTAAGGAGAAAGGAAGGGTAAAATATTTTAAATAAATGAATAAACAAAACATAAACATAGATTATAAACATTAACACTGCTTTGGAGCTGTTTTAGTGTTTAGAATCTTTGTTCGCATACCTGGTTAGCAATGTACATATTGACAGAATTAGCATGTGTATGCCAGCATTTCCAGCATGAAAAGAGATTGGCTTCTGTGTGCTTGCTGTGACAGCTTTTAAATGTAACACAAAGTTTACACTGAACTGGCTGGTATTCACCCATCACTAATTAGACTTCTATTTTACCTCCAGTTCTTGCTGTATTTGTGGTATGAAGCTGCACCTAGCACAGTGGTGAGTTTACTATGTGATGGTCCTGGAACCATTGCTGCATATCACTGATGCTGAAAAAAACACTAGCTGTTAATTTGCTACTGGGGCAGGTTTAAAGTTTTGATTCTAACCCTCTAAGGCCTAACTGTTTGGGACTGGGAGACTGGAGAGAGAGCCTTATTCCATTCAGATCTGTCCAACCTCTGCAGAGGCCCTCTTGGTTATGCCATATCCTACAGATACTGAATTTGTTAAAAACCAGGAACAAGCTGTAGTTGTAGAAGAGACAGCTGTTTTAGTCTGTGCTAGCATATCAGGCTGAAACAAAAGAAAAATAAAGAGTAAGGAACAAGTGGTGCTGACTTTAGGAATACCTCTTCCCAAGAAACAAATTACAGAGAAGCCTTGTTCCAGTTTTGACATAAACTGCAAACGTCTTAATTTATCTCAACATCTGCTTTATGACTGTACAATGATCGTTAGTTTATTATCTGCTAGTTTATAAATAGCTATAGTTTATATTATGTATCTTTACAATGATGTATATAAACAGATGTGGGTTTTTTTAATAAAGCACTTATCACCACTTCAGTCAAGATCACTTAAGTCATACACTTTCAAGAATGACAAACAAGCGAAAGTAATGAAATATGTTAGCAAAACCTTCGGCTTTTTACTTCTTCAGTTGCTTTGGTAAAAGTATGCCATTTTCAAGATGGCAGTTACTGAACCTAGAGGACAGGGCATTCTAAATCAGATGAATGTCATCTGTTGTCTCTTAGGTTCACGTCGTGAGGTATTAAGGCAGCCAGTCTGTAAATCCAGAAGTAGACCCTCTTTTCTAATGTGTTTCAGTTTGGTGTTACATCTGTTCCAACCAAAGACAAGTCAGATAGGCCATGATGTTCAAAGTTATAAATAGTGATTGTTCCAACTTCTTGGTCAAAATGGCAGACTTACGATTTCTGAATTTGTATGTAGGTCTGCTGTTGTTTTGTCCATGTGACCACGGAAAGATTGTCTTCGGACAAACGCTGGCTCTATGGCTTGAAGAGCGGGACACGACTGGACAAAAATTGTCAAGGGGAACCTTTACCTTTTACTGCTGTTGTTTTGTCTACATATTCCAGTGGCATCCTGGCCATTTAAACACAATAAGATAAATTACAGGGTAGAGCCTATAGAATAGATCCTGCCAATTGCAGAGCTAGTAAAAATGGCTGTTTCCCTGAGAAACACGCAGGTGATACAGCGTTCAAGCTCACAAGTGTATGACCTGGGCTTGGTGACTGGTGGTTTGAAGACAGCTCTCACCAGTAATCATCTTAGATTTGGTAGCTGGTCATCACAGGAGGCTTGCTGATGGCTTTTGCAAGATGCTCTGGGTTTGCTAGTAGCTAGTAAGCTTTCTTAAATTGCCTTGCCATAATTTGGAAATGCTAGATGAAAATTCACCACAAAAGGACTGTGTCATTCATTGTTAGATTTGTAAGTCTGATGGGAAAGACTTTCCCTTGACCAGGAAGTAATTATTAGATATTCAAACCAATGGTAATTGGAGGATATCCTCTATGAAGTAGGTGTTTCTTGGGTTTGTGTATTTTTTAAAAAACAATATTTTCAGTATTACAAGTGTGCTTGGTTTTTAAGAGCCAAGGTGTATATAATATTCCTGTTTATGTTTGGGGTGGCAGGACTTCCAGCCCTGCTCTACTTTTGAATCTCTTCCCATTTAGAATATCTTCTAATTTAGGATCCTCTTTTCTTAGTTGTAAAACAATGCCTTGGGCAGCATTTCTGTTCATTTACATAGGAAACCTTTTCACTAAGGCTTTGCATGGGGTCTTGTAATGCTTACGTTTCAGACAACAGATAGGTTCTCATAGGACATTAAACCACAGCTCAGTGTTATGAGGACAAGCTGCAGCAGGTCTTGGATTCACACGCTCCCTCCAACCCATCCTTTTCCAAGATGATCATGAGAAGATGCACTTCCCCCCTCTATACAGTTGCGTGTATATGGTTAATGTGGGAGCCCAAGGCTTACTTGTCAGAATGCATCCCCATACTTTAACTCATGGCTTAGCAGGAGGTGTCTATTTTCTCAGTAGCTGTGGTGCACGTGAACATGGCACAAAATCGCAAGGATGTGTGTATTGATAGCTCTATGACAGTAACATTTCAAACAACATTCTTTATCCGTTCCTGAAAGCCATTTGAGGGTGTTGCACTCGGTAGTTCCCCAAAGGAAACCAAACACTTCAAAAGCCATTTCCTCTCAATTCTGGGAACATAACAAGGATAATGAGAGAATTTTCTATGAGTGTAAACTCCTACTTCCTTTTGGGAAAAATGACAGATGGCTCATTGAGAACTTGGCTGGTCATATGGGGGTGGGCAGATTCTTCCGGAAAAGTTTGCATTAAAAACCTAGAGGAGAGACTGTAGATTTGCAAGTCCCTTGTGTGGCATGACAAGATGTGGGAGCTGCTGATGACCCATTTCACCACTCAGGGAGTGTTCAGATATTTCAGCTGTTCTTGCAGGACTCAGCTGGATTCAACTGGAAAACATAGGAATGCTGGGAACATCCATCCATGGCCTCGTGACACAGGAAAGGTTAGCTGTACTTGCCTGTCTCCCCCAGCCTAGCCCACCAGACTTTAGCTCTATATTGTATGTGATGCTTATAAGCTGCTTCCATTTTGGATAGCAATAGGTGGCAGGCAGGTTCTAATCTGATTTGAGGCTAATACAGTATTTCATTCTTGCAAATAGTGAATTTGCAGAAAGCAGGAGTGGGCTAATAAACTATTCCTAGCACTTTCGCTGGCAGGTTAGTTTTCTGTGTACACAATTGGGGGCGGGGGGTGTAGGGGCATTTTCTGTGAGCCTTTTCTCCCAACCACCCCATCCGAAGTGCAAACATCTGAGGAGCACAGTTCAGGGACAGCTTTAGTGCCTTATCAAAGCCAGAGAGGGAAGTTGGCCTTAGATGTGTATAGCAGACTTTCAAACATCTCAAATAAGGCTGAACAAGCAAAGTAGAATGTTTAGAAGGGTCTGACGCAGAAGAATCTCTCAGTTGTTCTGTATAAAAGATGACAGAAATCTAAGTGTGCTGTGATGAAAATTTTGTTTTGAGACTCTTAAGTTATGATGTTGCTTTTTGGTTTAATGGGAGACCTAGTAAGGTTTTCCAGTGCCTTTGATCTCTGTAAGTCTAAGTAACATGACTTGCATGTTATGTTAATAGTCTACCTCTATTCAGCGCTAGCTAAACATAATCTAGAGTACTGTGTCCAGTTCTGGACGCCACACTTTAAGAAGGATGCCAACAAATTGGAGAGCAACAAAGATGACCAGGGGACTCAAATCCAAGCTCTATGAAGAAAGACTGAAAGAACTGAGCATGCTTTGCCTTGAGAAAATAAGACTAGGTGGAAGATAGGATAGCACTTTTCAAATACTTGAAAGATAGGCCTATAGAGGAGGGGCAGGATCTGTTCTCAATTATCCTAGAGTGCAGAACACATAATAACAGGTTTAAGCTACAGAAAGCCAATTTAGGCTGAATATCAGGAAAAAATTCTTAATTGTTAGAGCACCACAACAGGAACCAATTACCTTGGGAGGTTGTGAGGAGCACTCCAACACTGGAGACATTCAAGAGAAAAGTGGACAACCATCTGTCAGATCTACAGTACTTTGATTTGGATACCTGCATTGAGCAAGGGGTTGGACTTGATAGTCTTATAGACCCCTTCCAACTCAATTATTCTGTGATTCTATGATTAATTAGATGTGACCACTGTATCTAATTCAAGGTAACTGATTGGCTCTGTGACTGGTTGCTTTACTTGCTAAAAGATTAACTTTTCCTCCCCAGCTGGATCCACAGGCATTGCAAGACAAAGACTGGCAACGCACAGTCATCTACATGAATGGAGTAAGTACATTCAGAATTTAAAATGATGGACTGGATGCCTTTCACAATTTTTCTGATTAGCTTCTGGGGGCTTTGCACTCCTTCTCAGTAAAAAGCAGTTTTTATTCTTCAGCAGACAAGGAACAGTGTCTGTAGACATGCGGAGGTTCCTTGTTGGTATCACACACAAAACCAGCTTCTTGCCAAGTATGTGAACTCTGCAGCTATTTCAGTCTCTGCTAGGGAACTAGCTGAATAGATTGTGTACTATGCAGAAACAGCCTGCATGTGTGCACATATGGCATCTTTGAACAGTCTGTTGCTGATCAGGAAGAACAGTAAGTATTAGTTCCTCAATCTTCCTGTTTCTCATCTACAGCCTATCTGAAATGCTGCCTTTGTGTTTTCCCTAAAGTGCATAAGCTGTCTGTCTCTCTCTGAGCTCCTGCACATGTCCTGAGTGGAAGGGATGGAAGGCTGCATTTCTGACAGGATTATGTTCTGTTTAGAGAGGGAGAGGAAAGGTACAGAACAGGCACAGTAAAGGACTGTCATAGCTGCTCCTTCATGTGGACTGCTGCTCCTGAACAATGATGTCTTTCTTCTGAGGCTGTTGACCTCTTGGAGCGGGTGACCATATGAAAAAAGTCCTTGGTCCATCAGGTTGTCTTATTAGTGGGCTCCAAGCAGGAGACAGTGAAGCCTTGTGGAAAAAATTTAAATTAACAAGAAGCACATTGTGTGAGGGTCTTGCAGAGAAGAGGTACTCAGTGGCCTGATACCCCAGGGCTCAGGGCTGTCTCTTAACAGCTGAGTCCCTGTACCTTTTTTTTTTCTTTATGTGTCAGTAAAGGTGGTATAGCTCTAGGAGAAAGGGTATCACACAATGAAGCTTTATCAGTTGGACGAATTTGGACATGGCTTTTTCAATAAGAGCTGTTTAATCTGTCTGGCAAGTTTATTGTTGTACCTGGGGAAGCCCCTCCAAATGTAATGGAATTTATAAGCATAAATAAGCTGCTGGGGGTTTGTTTAAAATACAACTAGCTCTGACCGTCATAAGACTATTAAGGGGCTTGAGTAAAGAAGTGGGATAATGTTTTCATCCAAAGCCACTTTAAGGTCTTTTTCTGCCAGTGTCTGGCTGTATAGCTCAGTGAGTTCGGTATCTAGCTCTGGAGCCAGAGGTTGGAAGTTTGATTCCCCACCGTGCCTCCTGTGAAGAGAGCCAGCCTGGGTGGCCTTGAGCAAGCTGCACGTTTCCAGGATGCCCCCAGAAGAAGGGAATGGGAAAACACTTCTGAGTACTTTCTGTCTGGAAAACCCTGATAAGGGTTGCCATAAGTCAGAATTGACTTGATGACACACAATTATTATTTATTTCTGCTAGTAGGATTTACTTCTGATTCTGGGGCTCACCAGAAAGAGGTTAAAAGCTGTTCTTGTTTTTTTGTTTGAAGGAAGGAGTAGGTAGAAGGTAGAAGTAGGGTTTAACTTCTATGTATGTTCTTCTTTAAATAGAAAAATAGTACTAGATCTAATCCTGCATATAGAGCTACAATCGTAGCCATGGTCTTATTTATTCAAACATTTTTCACTCTTCCATTTCCTTTACAAAAATTGCCAAGACAACTAGTAACTTTTGAAACCAAGTGCATGGTATCAAATCCTTACAGACATTTGCTTATTGTAGTATTATATTTCTTGATTACACTTGACACAAAGGTGTCTCTGATTAATCAGTACTAAGGCATTTGAATTTAAAGCTACTTTCTACAAGAATGAACTGCTCATCTCATGCGTTCTAGTAACATGTTCATATAAACAGCATGTAAGTTTTATTAAATACTGTATTACTAAATATAGTGCCATGTTAGAATAAAAAGAGTTTATCAGAAGTAAGCATCTGAAATCAGATTTACAGCAAATACAGTATAAGGTACAAATGCAGGATCAGGTGATACCTTTAATCAACCATTATGAATATTAAAATTTTTTTGACAAGCTTTAGATACCTGTATAAGGTATAAAATGATGCATACAAGTGGCCTGTTGATTGGTAGCATATTTTCCTTTATTTTTCCTTCATCCTTTTGTGTGAGCTGTATTTTTTCACACTAGAGCTTCACTCTTTTGATATCTAGTGTGCAGCTCTGAAATGCTGGAGGACTGCTGGTGATGACATGACACGTGTGGCATCATGTAACTGAGACTAGTGCATGAGAGTTGTACATTATTCTGTTGAGCTTCCTTATGCTTCTCCCATGAGAAGACAGTTTGGGCTGAAAAAAACTAACCTGCTGGTTGCGCACTTCAGGGCTGAGCAAGGATACGGACTTGGATCACTCGCTTCCAAGCCCACTTCCTGCCCATGATGGCTTGTGGTATTTTTGTGGTGATTCGTCACCAGAAGAGCTAACAGAAGAATGGCTTTAGCTGCAAAGAGTAATAATAAAGTTTCTTATTTCCAAGGTTGAAGTGAAGCTGTCCGTCAAGTTCACAAGCAGGGAGTTCAGCCTGAAGAGGATGCCCTCTCGCAAGCAAACAGGAGTTTTTGGAGTAAAGATTTCTGTTGTCACCAAGTGAGTCACAAAACCTTTTCTAAAAAATAGAAATCCACACAAGCAGATGTTGTTTCTTGTGCTTGCTTTTTTAAAAACAGATTATTCTTTTATTCATCATCTTCACATGAGCAACATAAATATGTCATGTGCTGCTGCACGGAATCTGTTTACTTGCTTTGAATATCACCTTGCCTGAAGTGATCTGGAACTAGGATCCAGGCTTTTCCTTTGCTGGGAGATGACTCACCCTGGGATTTTCCAAGCTGCTGAACCGCACCATTCAGAAATGTTCACACCATCTGTATTCTACTATATTAGTTTAACCCCTGGTCTTTGTCATGATGTGTGTTCCAGTCTATTGTTTGTTGGGGCTGGCAAATTTCATAGGAAGCAATTATGCATCAGGCAGAAACATGATTACTGAAGCACATATTTATTTTAAATTAAAAACAGAGTGAGATAATACCTGAAATCCTGTTGTACAGCTCTGGATTTGCTGTGATGATATTAATTGCTGCTAATTAAAGCTCTTTTTTCAGGATTTTGGGAGTGCATGTAACTGCTGGCAAATTTTCATTAATCAGTGGCTAATTAATGGATGTTTGGTTTGTTTAGCTGCCTAAATAAACAAATTGATAGCTCAGTATGAACAGCCAATCAGAAAGTGGTGGGGCCTATGGAAGGTGTTCAGATGGGAGATGCAAGTGCCAACTCTGAACCTGCTATTTTTATGCACATCTCTACACTCTGTACCAAAGCATAGCAGATATTGTCAATGGCCTCAAAATGATGACCACATGCTTAGGGGCAGATCAGACATAGGGGTAAATGTTGTATCAGACTACAGACTAGTTTTTCCATGGAACTAAAGGCAGTTTGAGATGTGTACATAATTACACATGCCAGTAACCATTGGTTAAACAACTTGGCACAAACTTTGGGAGAGTTGTTAGAAGAATATGTCAAATCAGCTTGTCCAAAAGTAACAGTGGGGCAAAGAATATTTTCAAAAAAAAAAATCCCTTTCTGGAGAACAAACACCAGTGAATATGATGCTAGCATCATTTTTTCAAAAAAATATCTTCAATAAATTTGAAACTTTGAAGAACTGGGGAATTTGCAGGCTTAAGAATGTAATGAATTTTGTAAAAAGATGGATTTTTAAAAAAATGAATGGGGAAAGAAAATCATTATAGGTAAACTTATAAATACAGGAAAGGAGAGTAGATCCTTGTTCAAGCTTGAAAAAATGCCATAACAGGCTACTGGGTATAGCTCTCATATGAAAAAGGCTCAAGTTTGGTGGAATTGGTTGGTGCTGGAGTGTCTACTGAAAGTGTTGGCTCTTTTCTCAAGCAGAACAAAAGCCTGTTATCCATGTGCCCCCCACCTTTACTGAACTGGGCTCTTCTTGCAGGAGAGAGCGGTCAAAGGTGCCTTACATTGTGCGTCAGTGTGTGGAGGAAGTAGAACGCCGTGGCATGGAGGAGGTGGGCATCTACCGGGTTTCTGGTGTTGCCACCGACATCCAGGCTTTGAAAGCTGCTTTTGATGTCAGTGAGTATTTACTTCTAATCTTTTTCCTTCCAGTAAGAATGAATCAAGCTGGTGTTCTAGTCAAGCATACTGGCCAGAACAACCAATCCATCTGCCCATCAACTCTGATTCTTCATTGGTTTCAGAGGTTTTATGGTTCGGTACAAATGATCTCCGCACTATGGCTTCTAATACCTGCTCCTAATGCACCATCTGTGTCACAGAATCATAATGCTGGAAAGATGCTTGTAAATAATTAGAAATCAAGGAGCTTACCCACTGGTGAGACAAATCATGGGGAGTACTATTAAGTCCCCTCTACTTCTGTTTAAGACTAAACATACTGTGTTCCTTCAAATTTGCTTTATACATTACTTATCATATTCCTTTTCGTCTTCCAAATTGTATATATTCTTAAAGAACACATGTCCTACTCTTTGGACAACAGCTTACTTATTTATACCAAATCTAAGACTCAGCCAAGAAAACAGCAATGTATCCTCATGATGAACCTGAAGAGAACCTACTCTCAAGCTGTTTACTTTGTGAGGATGGAAGCATAATTCTGTCCTGTACAGTAGAAGTAAAAACTTTTAAAACTTGGTATGGTCAACCACATGCCTGGTCTAGATTAAGTTTTAAGTTGTTATCTCTCATCTGGCTCATTGCTATGTTCAAATACTGAACTGTTACTTCTGGGTTAGCTGTAAATGAAACATAGAGCTGATTGGTCAGTGAGCTGATGGTATGCTCCCAAGTGGTCCTGAAATGGTTGCGTACAGAAATTATAAACCATTGGAGGCAAGATGGAACCTGAGGTCCACCAAAGGCTAAAGCTTGTGTTATAGAGCAGCAGCACTCCTGAAACTGAGGATCTGCAGCAGTACTGTACGTGTCCTCCTCCATTGTCATGCAGATTCCTTCCTCCTCTCCCTTTTTATCACTAACCATAATGTTCCATAATGTCTGAGTCAGGCAAGATGGGGTAACTGCAAATCAGGAGTGGCATATACATTGGAGACCACTATTCTTATAGGCCATCACTTATGGCAACTCTCTCAAGGATCTCCAAAAAGTCATTAGCAGCCTTGCTTGGGTCTTGCAAACACAAGGCTAAGGCTTCCTTTACTGAGTCAATCCATCTCATGTTCGATCTTTTTTGTGCAGCTTTCACCTTTTCCCAGCATAACTGTCTTTCCAGCAAGTCTTCTCGTGGTATTCCCAAAGTATAATGACTTCAGTGTAGTCATTTTTGCTTCTAGTGAGTGTTCAGGCTTGATTTTACTGATGTATCTGTCTGGTATCCATAAAGCTCTGAGTTGGGTCCCCCCCCCCGGTCAGTTCACTTCATTGTCTACCTTGGACATCCACATATAGTAATCAGCAACACCATACTATGGATGTTCTTGTTCTCCAGTAACAGTCTGTGTCTTAAAGATACTGTCTCCTTCTTTCATAGCTGCCCTTTTCAGTCATCTTCTACTTTCTTGGCTGCAATACCTATTAATAATTAACCAAGTTACAAAAGTATGCTCATTATTTCAATTTCTTCATTCTCAGCAGGAAAGTTCTCTAATTCTTCTGTGTTCACTAATTTTGTATTGTCAGTGTTCACCTGTAATCCTGCTTTCAACACTTTCTTCTTTAACTCTCTTCAATAATTGTTTCAAATCATTGCTGCATTCTGTTACAATATGGTGCCTTCTACATATCTTAAACTGATATTTCTTCCAACAATTTTCACCCCTTTATTTATCATAATTTAATCCAGTGTTTTGATTGGTGTGTTCTGTGTACAAATTGAACATATAGGAAGATGTTCAGAGCAACTCAGTCATGTGGTAAACCCATTTCTTTCAAGTCAATCCATAGCTTTTTATTATTCACACAGTCAAGGGTTTTGCTATAATTTATAAAGTACAGACTGTTTTTTTCCTAAAACTTTAAGATGCAGCAGTTGTTAGGTCCTGTTGTATCACATTTTCAAAAGTATGCAAGATATTCAGGAGTGGTTCAACACTGCCAATTTTTTTTAGGTTTTCATGGTTGAGCAAGATTTTTAATCCAGGCAGGATTGACCGCCAGTCCATTACATTGCAGAGCACCACATATCAGTTCCAGTAGACAAAAGATTTGCAATATGATCCCAAGTGCCTCTTCTTTTTGAATCCACTTTGAACATCCCTTGTTCCATACATGCTAAAAACTCTTCATTGCAAAAGCTTAAGCATCACTTTGTCTGCATGGGAAATTAATGCAATGGTCTAATACTGTAGTTATAATACTCTTTGACATCTTCATTCTTTAGGACTGGGATATGTATAGAATGTTTCTAGTCTGAGGCAAATTCTTTTGTAATTATTGGCATATTCTTCTTAGGATTTTTATAAATTCAGTCTTTGTAGCTTGGAGCAGTTCTATTGGCATCCTATCTACCTCCTGTGACATATTTTTAATGCTGCTTTGAAAGCAGCTTGGTCTTCGCTTTTTAATATTACAGGGTTTTCATCACAGGATTCTTCTTCAAAAGAACCCGTCATCCTTGTCTCTATTCTTAATAACTCTTTGTATACTGTTCCCAAAATATATTATCTTATCAGATGATATGTCCTCACATTACTCTTCCGGAATGATTAACTTAGGTGTATATTTCCCTTTGATTCAGCTCTTATGGAAGACAAATTTTTGTTTTCCCTTTTTTGTTGTTCTCTTGTATTTCTTTGCACTGATTATTGTAACAGTGCTCTTTGTCTCTATGTAACAGTTGCTAAAACTTTCATTTAGGATTTGATTCTACTGCTGTCATCAACAGTTTCAAGTTTCATCAGTCATACATCTAGTTTTTTTTTTAATTAAAGGAATGATTTTCCTCCCATTCTTCCATAATAATATCTGTTGCTTCAATCAGCAGCTTTTCTGGTTTATGATCAACTGAGTTTAGTAATGTGAATCTATTTTTGTATGGATTTCAAATGATCAAAAACGATATTTAAATGTTATTTTAACACGACTCTTTTTTGTTCTTCTTCAGCTTTACTCTAATATTTGATATTATGGTCTGTACCATATTATCCTGTCCATTTTTGCACAGGGAATAGAAGTTCTTCATCTTTTGCTTCTGTAGTCTGTTTAATTCCTTGATTAGCCATCTGGGGAAATCCATGCATACAGTTGTCCATTCAGTTGCCCAAAACATCTCTTTGCATTAAAATGTTGCTGTCTTCAAAACATTCTGTGAATACTCTCTTGCTTCACTTTGGACTCCTAGATCAAATGTGGTTCAGCTTTATTTTCTACTTTTGCATTTAAGTTACCTATGATAATCAGCACATCCTGTTCTGGTGTGTGATCAATTTCCTCCTGGGCATTTGCATTAAACTTTTCTATTTCTTCTCTTCAGCATCTGTAGTTAGAACATAAACTTGAATTATGGTTATGTTGCTAAGCTTTCCAATAAGTCTGATTGATGTTATTTGCTCAGATGTTCATTATTGCCCCTACCTGCATGTGATATGTCTTCCATCACTTCGAAAGCCACATCATTTCTTCTGAGGTTTTCATTTTTCAAAGTAAGAAAAGATGCACTGCAGTCCACTCGTTTGCTGATAGCAAGTTTTGTAATGTTTAGAGATTCCATTTCTTGTGTTACTATTTTGAGTTTTCCATGATTCATATTATACAGCATGTTCCAATTATGTGTTGTGCAGCATCAAGCTCCTTACATACAGTGCTATTCATAGTTGTCCTTTGCTCTTTCCCAATAGTCAACTGAGTGCCTTCTGATCTGGGAGTGTCATCTCCAGGCACTACTTCTTCCTTTCTTTTCAACTGTCTCATCCTAGAGTTTTCAAAGTATAAATTATTTATTCAGAAGTGGTTTACCAGTATTCTTCGGTGCAGTACTAAAAAGAGTTAGCTTAAATGTCATGACTTGTTGTCAATGAACGATCATCAGCCAGTGGTTACTTCTGCTGCCCTGTAGCTACCCTTCAGGATTTTCTTTGCCCCCATCACCACTGCAAAGGCCAGTTCTCTTCTTCATTCCTGAAGAATATGGATGCATCTTGTCTGGTATCTCAACTTTGACAATTCTGCTTTGGGTGACCCTTCTAGGAGTCTAGGCATGTAATAAAGTCTAGCTCTGATGGCACTGCTTTCAGCTTCCCTGAACCTGTCAATCTCCCTCATTGTGCTAAAGATGTGCACACAGTAGAGGGCTGTCAGGTTATATAAAATAAGCCAAATAAAATGGAACCTGATTTTTACAGCCATGAACACTAAGCACAGAGATCACATACAAAGTGTCAGCAGGTGTGCCTGACAAGGATACTGGAATACACATCTTAAAGGTGACGATGATGTAATGCCTCTGACAACCGACTGGACAGTGATAGCATATATAGACACTATATAATGATTTCTTCTCTTGGCTAATGTAAATGGTTGTGGACTGTAATGCTCTTGGTGCTGTATATACTGTAAATGTAAATAGACTTAATTGTCTCTGCCTAATTTACTTGACTGCTAGGACTGGAACAAGGAACTTCTGGAACAGTTGCTGATAAAACTGTGCTACTCTGACAGGGGCAGATCCACTTAACTGATTTGTAAACTATATTTTACAGTTCTGATTAGTAGCCACCATACTTTGCATAATTCTAGGCATCATGACAAAACTATGGTGAGTACTAAATAGGAAGGAACACATAGTTCTTCAAATCATGATATAGAATCCATGCCATTTCTGCCCTGATAGAGGAAATAACAATGTTGACAAAGAGAAAGTTCAAAAATGTCTGAGGAGTTGAAATCTCTATTTCCCTCATATCCCTCCCTCTGTCTTCTGTTGTCTCTGCAGATAACAAAGATGTCTCTCTCATGATGAATGAAATGGATGTCAACGCCATTGCCGGAACACTAAAACTCTACTTCAGAGAGCTGCCTGAACCCCTCTTTACAGATGAACTCTATCCCAACTTTGCTGAAGGCATTGGTATGTACTAGTGTTGCTGCAAGTATGATGTCTTGCAAACATATCACTTCAGGACTGTGTAGTTGGAAATTAAGCTAAATATATCTGACAGAAGCTCCTCCAGAGTGTCCATATACCATAAAAGTTACAAACATCCATAAATTTGTCCCCTTTCAGCCTGTCTGCATGCACAGCAACTCAACATAAGAACAGTCATTTTTTAATCAGTCCAAAAGCCGAAGTAGACCATCATCTGATTTTCCACAGTGGTCAATCACATACAGAAGCAGCCCACAAACAGAATGTGAGACTCTCTTGCTCTTGCATGCTAATAAGTTAGTGGTCTGATGCCTCTGAACCTGGATGTAGCTTGTTACCATATCATGAGGGGTTGACATTCATTGATGAACTTTTCCTCTGTCACTCCACTTGATCTCCTTTCAGAGTCATAAAGGCCAGAGGCTTTCACCAGATCTTTCAGAAGCAAATTATATAAGTGAATTTGTGCTATGTGCAGATTTCCTTCTCTCTTGCTTGAATCTTCCACCATTTGCTTTCATTAGGTGACCCCATGTTCTAATGTTGTTGGGAAGAACAAGTTGTGTTCAGCCACATGATCTATCATATCCCACTTAGCTGACAGTATCCCTTTGGCAATATGGCAAGCCTAATCCCATATAATATTCCAAGTGTGGCTGTACCAAAGAGTTGTGTAACAGAATTTCAGTATATGCAGGATTGTGTGTTCTTGATCCCTTTCTTAATAATCCTTAAGACTGATTTTTCCTTTCTACTAACTGGCTCAGATTTTGCCAAGCAGTCTGTTTCTTTAGAAGGGTTCTTTCAAATCAGAAGTCAGTTGCGTCCTCAGACATCTACCCTTGGTTCATGTTACCCTTAGATCTCTTGAAAAGGAAGGAATTAAGTGGCCAGGAAACATCACGGCAGCTGAGCTTTGGTGGGTGGGAGCATTGTGGAAGTATCTCTACTAAACTTGGTTTCTGGGTTCCCTCATTACTTGACAGAACATCATGTGTACACACTTTCATGTCTGTGGAAAATGCATAATAGAAAAATCTTGCTCCCATCATGACTATAATTTTCCTTATCTCCTCCAGCACTTTCAGATCCTGTTGCAAAGGAAAGTTGTATGCTGAATTTACTACTGTCTCTTCCAGAACCAAACCTAGTTACCTTTCTTTTCCTCCTCGATCATCTGAAAAGGTAATGTTGAAGGTCTTACATCAGATGTGTTGTTGCAATCATAGGTTTATCACAGTATATACAATTCATTTCATCTCATCCTATTCTAACTAATATAATACGGATATAATCTGTTCTAAAGTAGATGTAGATTTAATCCAGGTGTAAAGCAGTTCCCATTTGTTTTTCTCTACTCCTGTTATTCTGTCATTTAGTGTGTCTGTCAAGATGTCCATTTCTACCAGGTCTAGAATCTTCTCAAGAAATTCCTCTTTTGTCGGTAACTCTGTGGTCTTCCAACTGCTAAAGAAATTCTTGCTGCGGTTATGTAAAATCAAATAAACCTTGTTTTTTTTAATTGTGTGTGGTAGCATGTTCAATAGGTCATGCCCTTCAATTTTTAAAAGTCTCCCGTTATAAAAAGTGATCCAATCCTTCACCCAGGTCAAAGTTGCTGCTCTATAATACTTCATCCAGTCCAGTAGTCCAAAACCTCCTCTTCGTTAGTTGTCCTGGAGAACTTTAAGTTCTATTCTTGGCTTTTTTCTATCCCAGGCAAATTTACTGGTTATCTTGTTCAATTTTACTGGTTATCTTGTTTCAGTAATACTGGGATCGTCTGAAAAGGGAAAACCAACTTTGGCAAAATGTAAATTTTAATTGCCGCTATTCTACCCACTAAAGACAAGTGAAGTTTAGACCATTTCTGTAAATCTGCTTTGACTCCTTTCATTACTTCCATATAATTATTCTTTTATCAACGTGCTTGTTTTCTTTGTCAGATTCCTAAGTACTTAACCTTGGATACTTCTTGGCATCCTGAGTGTTTCTGCAACTCTTCTTTTTCTTTTATCATGTTTTTGATTTAAATCTATTTTTTGTTTATTTATCTTGAGACCTGACATGAGTCCATAATCTATTATTGTATCTACTACCCTGTTTTCCCAAAAATAAGACCTAACCTGAAAATAAGCCCTAGTATGATTTTTCAGGATGCTCGTAATATAAGTTCTACCCCAAAAACAAGCCCCAGTTATGTGAAGCCCTGTCTCCACCAGGGACTCATTGTGCAGCAACCAAAAGATGATGACATGACTGTATTTGAATCAATGTAGATTATTGTGCATGAAAAAAAAAATAAATAAAGCATCCCCTGAAAATAAGCTCTAATGTATTTTTGGAGCAAAAATTAATATAAGACCCTGTCTTATTTTCGGGGAAACACGGTCGTATCTCTATTGACTTCAGAAGAGCTTCTAGGATTATTACTAAATTGTCGGTATAGGCTTGGATTTTGAATTCTTCTCCTTTGACCTTTAAGCCTTTAATCCTCTTCTCCTCTCTAATTTGTTGATTCAGGACTTCTTCTTCTTGGGTATCTCACTTTTGAAGAATATAAATGATATGATTTATTTAATTTATATCCCGCCTATTTGGTCAGTTAAGACCACTCTTAAAAAAAAATTACTGAAGCACCATGTTCCAGTAAATACGAGAACTTTCTACCACCTATTCCCCCCCCCACGTTCTGATTTTACATATACTGTATAAATATATAAGGTATATATCTTCATTTCACTGTTTGGTAAGATCTCCTAAGTTGACTACTTTTCAACAAGATGGTAAAACATAAGCTGATAATACTGTTAATTGGGACCATAGCTAGTTGAACAACCAGTCCCCTTGCTCATTAATGGTTCTGCACCAAGTCTTGGTGGAATTTTATTTTTGTCCCTGTATTGTTTAATATTTGTTCAACAAAAAGAGGACATAGACAGGATGCTTAGTCAGTTTGTGGATGACATTAAGTCAGTATTGTAGATAACAACATTAAGCAAGATTATCATGAAAGGCTCGAAGACTGAGCTGAAACTAACAAAACTGAAAAAGTCAATAGAGTTAGAGTCTTGTATTTAGGTTCAAAACAACAGTACAGGTACAGAATGGGAGAGGTAGTTTGATGTATTTGCAGAAAAAAATCTAAAGCACCCTTAGACAACATTATGCAGCGTGATAGTTTCGCTCTATTCTGTGTCCATCTATATTTGGAGTGCTATATCCAATTCTGGCTGCACATTTTAAGACAGATACAGAAAAACTGGAGCATGTCCAGGGGTGAGCAGCAAGTATGGTGATGAAACCTAATTCCACAAGGAAACAGGTTCAAAGAGCTGAGTATCTTTAGTCTAGAGAAGAGGTGATCTTTTCCCCTAGGAATCCAGAGGCGATCTTTTCCCCTAGGAATCCAGAGTCCTATAGAATATGGAGAACCAATTCAGTCTTTCATTACCCTCAGATGGCAAAAGTCAAACCAATAAAATTATAAAGAGGCAAATTTTGGCTGGACATTAGGGGAAACTTCTTCCCAATCAGGGATGTTTGACAGTAGAACAGCCTGCCAGAGGTGATGGACTGTATTATACTATAGGTATTTAAGCAAAGGCTCAGCTGAGATATCTCTCAGAAATACAGTTGTCATATCTTGTCTGAAACACAGAACTGAAATACATGACCTATGGAACAGTTTCCAACTCTATGAAGTCCATAATGTAGATTTGATGCCAGGCACTGGCCTACACTGATAATTTAAGAAAGATAAGGCCTAGATTAATGGATAGTTCTGTACTTGTGTCTTTTGTGCCACCATGAGAATTGCCATCATTTAGAGCTTTTTACATCAACTCAGACTTTTACTGGCTCATGTCTTGATTTCAATTTCAAAACTTAAACTATGATTTTGTAGCAGTAAAGTTGTAAGATGAGGTTTGAATAGAATCATGTTGCAATGTTGTAAACACCAGGCATTGTCTTCTCTGCACAAATTGCTTTAGGGTCGCTGAAAAGGAAAGCATCAACAAGATGTCGCTTCACAATCTGGCTACTGTTTTTGGACCAACACTGCTCAGACCATCTGAAAAGGACAGTAAAATCCCTGCTAATCCAACCCAACCAATAGCCATGACTGATAGCTGGTCACTAGAAGTCATGTCCCAGGTAAAAGGGGACTAGGTGCAGAGAAAATTGTATTAATTGCACATAGAAAGTGGCCAAAAGACAAAGAAAACTTTGTCCACCTGGGCAAGGTTCATGATTCTTTTTTGATGGGAAGATTAGAGGGAAAGTGCTTCTAGGTAGAGCTTTACATCTTGCTGGAGCATGTTGTTCAATATGAGCTTTTCCAGGTGAAATGTCCATCCTCCCTTCCTGCAGGGTTATCCATGTACCCTCTACATGGAAGTACAGACTGCCATTATTCAGAGATACAGAATGAGGGGGCACTGATATTCAGATTACACCCAGTTCTCCATTTCACTAAATTCCTGTGAAACAGAAAAATGTGCCAAACCAGTGCTTGATATTAGACATTTGCACCGTGTCTCTTCAGAAGCTGCATTCCTCTAAAAGAGCAAATTTGGTAATCCAGGATCCAGTTTAGCCAGTGAAAGCATAAACAGCCGCCTTGCTACAATGTGCTTTGCAGGAACATTGTGCAAGTGATGTCCCCTGTGTCGCACCCTCACTTAGCCAAGCTCTAGGGAACTCTACTTGGACTATTCTGACGAATTATGCAGGCTGCTTTCTTTGAAACTGCAGGTGGCCAAAATAAAAACATCATGATTAATAATTGGGATTAGTTCCTAGGATCATTCTGTGTCTCCTTCCAATTACTGCATAGGCAATTCACTGTGCTGATGCTTGCCTCTAAATCCCTCCACAGTTTGGAATGTGGTACTGAAATAAAATTCACCATTCTGCTGTCAGAGGCCCTTCTGTGCGTGCCATGTATGGGTAACAACCAGGAGTTAGCCCTTTTTAGTGGCTGTATTCCAATTAAAGAGGTTAACCTGGCACTAATTTTGTAATTTCAACATAACGCGGAAACTCTTAATGAAATCCCAGCTGTTTCTAATTATGATTTTTATTTCTGGTATTGGCTTCTTTCCTATTGGTTTTGTATGGTTCCACATTTCATTTATTATAGTGCCTTAACTTTGTTATATATGATCTTCTGGGAACTATTTTGGAGGATAGAAATGTATATTTATTCCATAAATAAAATAAACTTTGTAATCATGTGACTGATAAAACTCTGCCTCAACACAGCTGTTTCCCCAAAACTTGGCAAGTAAAAGCCTTCCATGGTAAGCTCTCCAACTGACCCTCATTCTCCTCTGCCTTCCAGGTTCAAGTGCTCCTCTACTTTCTGCAGCTAGAGACTATCCCCACTCCTGATAGCAAGAGACAGAGCATCCTGTTCTCTACAGAAGTATAGAAGCCTGGCCAGTCACTGGACGAATGTGTCAGACGTGTTTTTGGTTTGAACTCCCCCATTCTGGCAATGTGGAAAACCTGTCTGTCTTTAGAAATTCCCATCCTCTCCTTCTGTACTGAAAAGAGGCAATTCATTCCTCTCCTGTTCATCGGGCAGTGATGGATGAAGGGTTTTGTTTGTTTGCTTCAAAGAAGAGATTCCTTCCTTTCACAACTGCGATATCAGGAAAAGAGCTGGGCCAGAGCAGCTGTGCTGTGAGTTTCTAACAGCAGAGGGAAGCACTACACAGCAGAAAATGTTTCTGTGGAGAATGTGCAAGAACAGATTCCTGTGTTGTTGTTTTTTTAAAGCTGAATTAATTTTATCTTTGGAAAGCTTTGAGATTTCTACCTGGACCACTTGTGAAGAGGAAAAGGATATATCAAAATTGTAGCTTTAATAGCTACTGTTGCTTTGGTTTTTAACTGTCCATATTCAGAACCCATTCATCAGTGATGCCCTCTATCTGGGAATTCCATTGTTAGTTCATCAAAGCTTATTTCAAATAAATAAACAAATAAGAGGTTCCATAACAAACCTCTTGTTTTTGTCCCAGAAATCCATTAGAATGACAAATCCCATTTTCCCATTTTTGGTCCCTTTTGAGGCAAAGGTTTGTAAGAGAGGCATGCCCTGTTTCATCATGTGTAATCTAAAAAACAGTGTGCTAGAGGAGATAGAGGGAGGGTGAGATGACAGCAAAGGGTGGGGGAGGTGACTGTACTCTCTTTTTGTATGGACCTAAAAGAATGGGCAATGCCAGTGTGAAAGACGCTTCAGGCACTCTAAATGTAAAAGAAAACTTGCAAGAGGGTATATGTCTATTCTCCCAACCCCTTATGGTGGGGGAGGGGAAGATTTTTTTTAAATTCCTATACCCAAGTAGGTGGTTGTGCTGGTATAAGGACCACAACTAAGTCATAAATACATCCCCCGCCCCCAAGATATGGGTACAAAAGACAGTGACTATCTCTCTGGCTGCTTAACCCAAACTCTTCTCAGAATAACCTTTTTGATACTTGAATTTTATGTTTGTCCTTCAGAAAGGTCTGTTGCTTGTGGAAAATATATCTACCATCTCTACCCCTTTTTTGCTAGTAAATAGATACGTTTTGATATGATATTTAATAATCTGTAATGATGATGATTGAGCAGGGAGCATTCTGTATTTTCAGAAATTTCAGCCATTCCATATTAAATGGGTACCAGAGCAGCCATTTCAACTATCAGTGAACTGTAAGTACTAGAAATAAATCAGTGCTGGAAATTTGAAACTTTTAATTGCTGAGTCTCAGGACAGGAAGGTGTAACTTTTGTTCTGATTTATATTAGATTTTGGGAAAAACTACGCCTATTGGTTTTTCTCTTGGTCATACAGCATAATTTTTAGATGCCAGTTTTATCAAGAAAAACTGCTCATGGATAACAAAAGGAGACAGATTCTTTCATACTTATCAAAGTGTGGGGGGCTAAGAAATTAAAGGAAATTGTTGGCTTGATTCAGAGAGGCTTGGAAGTGGGAACTGAGGAGAGATTTTTTTCGTAAGGTTTCACATAATTTTGAAATGCAGCAGATGACTCTGTGGAGCAATGCAGATTTTGCCGGCCATTTCAGTTCTTACTGTTGTGTCTTGCCAGTTGCTTTTGCTATTGTGAAGTCTGAAGTTCTAAATGGAGAATTTTTGCCATCCTTGAGAACTGCTCACTTTTGTAAATTATTCATAAAAGAACTTGATACTGCTTAGCGTCTCTTCCTCCTTAGGTGTCTATGCTGTGTCTATGACACTGACGTGGTTTAGACATAACGTGTCTATTAAGCTCAAATAGGCCTGAGTCTTCTTGCCCAGTTGCACTGTTGCTTCTCTCTAATCCAGAAAGGCAAACTGTAAAATTGTTCACAGGAGGCCATTAATGAACTGCTTTAAAGGGGGATTTCATGAATGTTAAGGCAACTAATAGTTCTTGGTCACATTGATGATATATTTTCTTCAGTATTGGAGGTAACATGCATCTTAGTAACAGCTCCTGGGAAGCAAGAGGGGGAGGATGCATTTATGTTTTCCTGGCTGGCTTTCCAAATGCTCCTGATTAAATATGGGAGGAAATAAGCTGCTAGATGAAAGAGGCTATTCGTTTCACTTAGCTGTACACTTCTTGTGTCTCCTAATACAGATATAACAAGCTACAGATATAACAAGCCACTTGAAAAAGTGCTACAAAACATTTCAAAGGCATTAAACGTGTTATTAATTTTCACCTTTTATTATTTATCTTTTGTTGATGTAAAATATACCTGGATAGTTTCTATAGTAGGACCTGATGGTCTGTCCAAACTACAATGTTCTGTTATGCTTTGTGTCTTTTTGACACACTGCGAAGTAAACTGTAAGGCTAGTAGATGACTGAACAAAGGATCTGCCTTTCCTTCTCACTTAGTACAGGACATGAGCTTCTGAATCACACCCCATCTGTAGATTATCAGTGTAGTGGATCAAGCCACTATTTCTTTGGGAATTTGGGACCGGCTCATGCAGGGCTGGTGGAAGGTGAGCTCAGAGGCTGGAATTCTTCATTTGATCAGGGCTACAGACTGTGTTTCCAGTCTCAAATGAGTCTGCCTTGTTCTCTTGGCTTTTGGATCAATGGGCAAGCGTAGATTGACACAAACATATTTTTAGGATGTTTGCCTCTGGTATAACTAGGAGTCCTGCATGGATAATGTTCCAAGCAACTTCTCAGATCCCTGCTCATCTGGAGAGCAGAAGAAGCAGGTATTTCCCCCCCCCTCCTTCTAAACACCTGCAGATACTGTAGGCGAATACACTGTAGGCCCTGCTTGCCTCATAATTACATTTACTTTTATACAGTGTGGGGACTGTGGAGAGTCAGCAAAATTGAGCTGTAGATTCATGCTCCTAAAAAAAGGGCAGCCAGATTCCCTGAAAAATCACAGACAATATAGAAAAGACTAACATGTATGTGAACATTTTTTAAACTTGGGGTGAGGTTTGGAGGCTTGATTTGATCCTGTTCTGAGACAACAGTTCCTTAAGGGCTTTGCCTTTTTGTCTCATTATTTTCAATTTTTCTGGAATGGTTGATATTATTTTCTTGCCTTGTTGATTGTTACATATCCATGGCTGCAGTTTAAAACTGGAAAAGCAATACTACAAAAATGTGCCAACTTACTTTGTTTGAATTTTCTTTTCAAATTATTTTAACTTTATGTACAGTTGTAATTTTAATATTGAATTGATTCTTTATGTTGCTTAACTGTCAGGGTGACAATTTGCTTTTGGTAATCCTAAAGGGGGTTACTTCAACACTTAGGTGAATTCTTACATGCAGGCATGTGGATGTGGGAAGAACTGCATAATTAATTTAAGCATTAATTATTTGATTTTTAAAATATAAATCTGTGCTTTCCTTAGAAGTGGTGATCTTGGGCTGTAAAAACTAGTGCACCCTATTTAAACTGATTTTTAAAACAAACTTTTATACAGGCAACAAAATGTAAAAGTATGAGAATTTTAGGTGAAAGTTTTTTTAATTTCCTTTGTTTGGCATCATCTTAAAGCACCATGTCTGCCTTTCAGTATCTTGGTTTCCATATCAGTATAGCTTCTGTCCCTCACTCAGGATGAGAGGTGACACCAATGACTGGCTGTCCTGGTGGGATGACACGCTCATCACCACTTCATAGGACCCAAGGTTCAATTTCCCTTCCTCTAGAGGAGGCCTGTGTCCCATTCTCTGCCTAAACTGTGAAGTGATGTTTTAAAATTTATTTAAAATTATATATTGCCTTTGCAGAAAAATAATGCAGTGTGCAGTGTTCAAAATTATAAAGCGTTAAAACCATCAAAGTAGAAACAGTAAAGCAAAAATCAAGCTACTAAAACAATTTAAAAGACCAAATGAAAATTATGTGATTGAATAAAAGGTTTATGACAAGAGTGGGGACCTACTGTGATTACAAGGAAGATGCATTCTGGAGTTTGGCCATAGTGACAGGCAGTCTAGTTCAGCAGAGAAGAAAGTCCTCTCCTTGTGTGCCTATCAAGCAGGCTTCTACAGGTAACAGTAGCTCTGAGAAAGTTTTTCTTGTAGATCTTAACAGCTGGACGGGTTGATAATGAGACAAGTACTTCCTCACATAGTCATGCACTGAGCTCTTTAAACTGAATCCTTAAAACAAATGGCAACTAATGCGACTCTTTCAGTGTGAGTAACATGACTTCCTAGACCGTACAAGGGTTATCCTTATCCCAAGGTAACCTATCACAAATTGCAGTGCCCACCTGGGTATCCCCTTTTGCTCTTTCCTTGAGTCCCTTTGCGATGTCGGTGCATCAGGCAAAGGCAACTTGGTCATTGCCCTAGTACCAAAGTAGCACTCTTGACATCGTACACCATAATACATTCCCTGGTCAGGCAAGGTAAGTCACGTCTCAGTCTGTGCTGTCCAAAGCAAACATGGAAGCATGTCCCTCCCTGAGGCAAAATTCCAGTAAACAGATTTGGAGACAGTTGCTGAAATCTTGTTAAAAGTGTGGCTGTTACTCAGAAAGAGTAAGCAAGCATAGGGGATTTCTCCCTTCTGTATGCTGTCAGGTCCTTGGCTGTGACAGAGAAGAGGGTCTAAAATCTGCTCTTTTACAATATACTACTGTCCTTTACAAAACCATAATTCACTGAGTTAGCTAAATTGGGAGCTTACAAACTTTTTTAAAAATACTTCACACTTTGTATTATAAGCTTCACTCTCCAGCTTTGTTTCCTGTAAAACTTATCACACACAAGTTTCTTAAAACTAAAATGTGTGAAAAAAAAGTGCCAGGAAGAAGGTTTTGTAAGCCTTTCTGCTAGAGGTGTGCACTGTTGTGTTTTTGGACTAGCCTTGCTGCCTAGGAAATTATAGTCCAGAAAAACAAAGATGCAAACTCATACCTTCCATATATGTTAGGTTCTGATTACAGGCAACAACTTAACTGCAAATACTGTATTCTCCAGTGTTTAAAAGCTAGTACCCACATTTTAACTCTCCGTTACACCTTAGTATTATCAGAAATCATCTCAGGGAAGGACAACTGCAGAAAGGAATTTGCTTATCAATGATGTGGTACAGTCCATGAAACAAAGTAAAAGGGCTATGATACAACCAGTATACTTGTGGGAGAAGCAAACCTTCTGTGAGCAGTCTCCCAAAATACGTTTCCTCATATGCAGATCAGTGTCTTGACAATTAATGCACACTTACTTAGTCCATATAAAAGAGAGGACACCTAATGATATCAAAAATATGCCTTATTTATAGGCTGGATCCCCACTAGTCTGAAACAATCTGCTGGAAATTAGGAAGGGTTTCCAACCATCAGACAGGTATAGCAATAGAACAGATTGCCAAGCAGTATGGTAGAATCTCCATTAACAATGGTCTTAAGTTGCTTAAGCAACGACTTTGGCTGGATTCAACACCTGAGACAAGATTAATAACTCAAGAGCCTCTTATGTTTAGCTTCTACCCATATATCCAAATACTCACCACTTCATGGTATGAGAACTCCTTTGAGAAAAGTTACTTGGATAGCACCGCACATTATGAATGGAACTATAATTTGAAAAATGACTTTTAGTAGTTATGACCATTTCTCATAAAATATCTTTCTTGGTCTTCCTGAACTATTGAGTGAGAAATAGTCTCTGCAGCGAGTGCTAATCCAAATGATCAGCCCTACCTCAATAAATTAAGAGCATAAGTGTTTGAGCAGAGAAGAATTGCTGACAATTCCCCTTTAACCAGACTTCATGTAAGCCAACATTTTATCCATTCATAGTTTAATGATGGGTTTCAGAGTGGATGCACACATTCTAGTAAGGCAACAGTCTGTTTCGGTCAAGGGAAGTGATCCTGTTGACTGATTGTTTCTAGTGATGAAGATTCATTAAGGATGATTATATAAAGAGAATGGAGTTGCTTCCCCATGATTGCATCCATAAACCTGTATAACTGTATTATAGTCGGAATAAGCTATAATAAATTTAGAAGAAATTAATAGACATAATTCTGAGTTATAGTATGGAAAGGGCAGTAGATAGGGTATTATTGACCAGGAATTTCAGAATAAATCTTTCATTAACCTGTGACTTACAGGTTATGAACTTCTGGCATTATCTCATTTCAATAAGCTGGGAAACATGGAGGGTTTTTTTTTGTCACTCTGCTTCAACCATCCTTGAGTATACAATCTCAAAATTTTAACCGCAACCCTGTATTTTACACCTTGACTAACATCAGGGTGCTGTCACTGCACATGTGAAATCTTGGCAATGAGCATGACTAAAAGTTCATCCATTTAAATATTACTTAAGTACTTTAATGCAAGAGTTAATTTCACATTGACTTCTGTCCCAGAGAAATGGTAATCAGTTTTAGTTCGTTTGTGTCTCATGATAGTTGCTAACTTGAAGTTTAAAAAGGTGATCTGGGAGTAGCCCTGATTTCCAGAGACTGGCCATGCAAAGCAGAGATTGGTTTAAGTTTATGAGGTTAGTGCCAACAAGTGACCTCTTTGCTAGAAATTTATCACTCAGGTTCTCCAGAATAGCAGCGATTCTATTAACTGAATCTAAGAATGTCCAAATCAAACTATACAACACATGCTGAGATGTACAACTGAAGCAGACAGTGAAGGAATTAAGGTGAAATTTTCCAAGTAGAAAAATGCCTACTTTTTCTTATGTTTTCATGAAGACTTTTTGGGGTATGTAGCATTTGTAACTTTTTCCTTCTCTCTGCTATAAGCATTTATAATCCTTGTTAAATTCAGAAGAAAGGAGAAAAGTAGATTTATTTATTTAAATATAAATACAATTAAATTATATTACCAGTGCTGGCATTTTCAGGAGGGTTTTTTCATTTGCCGCTAGTGGTTCATCATGATTTTTACCACAAAGCTTATATTTGTTGTCATTGTTTTTGACACTGCCTTCATGTTCTAAAGCATTTTGCTTTGGTATTTTATACTGCTTCAATGTTCCTTGCTTCAGTATTCCAAATACTCTTGATTCAGAAAAGAAATGCTGAGAACGCGGAACCATTGTTGAAAACAAATGTTTTCCTGTGCTTTTATCTATCAGGAATATTTCCAAGAATAAGCAAAAATATGTGTTCAAAAAATAGATCGCAAAGAAGACTGAAAATCTGTATTTGGAAATTAGGAGAGTCAAGGCGTTTGTTGCCTTTGTTTGTACACACTGTTAAATAAATTTCTTCTGTATCTGTTTAATAAGCCTGACTGTTTATTTATTATGAGGTGCTACGTTAGACCAGATACATGAAACATTTCTTGAAGACCAAACAAAATATCCTAGTGCAATAGAGATTTGTTATTCTTCAACTGACAGGAGTGTAGATTATGTTTGTAAATAAGGAGAAACTTATTTAATGGAAGTGCTGTAAAATAGTGAAGTGATGCTTTGCCTGGACTTCATATTTCCTTTCCTACACAAAGTGTCATGACACACACCACCTTACTTTTTTCTTCATTTTAAACCATTATTTTTTAAAAACATGACAGTGTCACAATTCCTTAGAACTTTGCTATCTATAAATTAAATTTGACAGCATTGTGATGGCTGCAATCACTTCAGCCACACTTGCATGTTACATTATTTCCTGGGTGCCATTCAGGATTAAATCCAGCATTCCTCCCTCCCCTTCGGTTGTTTCATTGCTAGTTGTTCTGCAGCAAAATCATTTAGCTTGTATAGACATTTATCCTTTGTTATGGCTGTAAAGTTGCTCATTATTGAAACAAAATATTCTCTGAATGCCTACCTGATTTGTTCTTCAAGAAAACATAACACATTTTCATTAAGAACACCCTGTCGCCCCCCAGTTCTAGAATACTTTGGAGCCCAGGGACTGTCATCAAGAGTGTTATCTGTGGAGCTTTTTATCTGTTTTATGAAGGTTTCTGACTTGTGACAATGTGCCAGAGGTCAAAATTACGCAATTTGCAGCATCCTACGGGACTCTCAAAAGCCATAATTTTCCATAATTTTCTTAAAAGAAAAACTGACAGTCATGCTCCCAGGATGAGTCTTTTAAAACAACGCTTTCCCTTGCTGCAAATTATATATAATCACCTTCATTTTATTCAAAACCAGAAATAAACTGAACCTGAACTGAAACATTAGCCAGTATTTTGCTCCACATAAGCAGACTTTCTACTTGCTACATTTACGCTATGGTCTTTTGTCACTGTAGGAAGTTATCCCTTTTCATAGCTATTTCCAAAATTGTGCTCAAGTCTTAAGTATGGCACTCTGATTTCTGCACACCTGTTCACCTAAAGGAGTTTTCAATAACTGCAGATTCCTGCAAGACTGCGCTCAATTCCTGTGTGTATTTATCAAATCCTAAATCTCTAAGGACCTCTCCCTCCCAGGTATGAGCTCTCTTAGTAGTGCCTTCTCTTTTTTTTGGCTTTGGCTGATTATGTATTTTATGGCTACTTACATGGATTATTGAATAAATAAAAGGGCTTGTTCTTACCTTAGTCCTTCTACAGTTGCTAAATGTGTATATGTTTGTGTCACCCTCTTTTACCGAAAGCTTCATTAGTGAGGCTCAGATGGTCTACCACTCAGTCCTTCTCTGTGATCAAGAGGAAAATTTAGGATTTGTTATATAAAAAGTACACAGCCAGACCTCAGAAAGTTCATTCCCTTGTTCTTGAGCAAAGGCACCATCTTTACATTTTGAACCATTTCAATCTATTATTAAAATATTGGTGCTATACAGTATACTGTAGTGATTTACTGAAAACAGTTTGGAGCTATACACAAAAATATTTTTAAACATCTTTGAATAGCACCTGATAATAAAGCTGAACAGGAAAACTGACCTGGAAAATAGCAAACGCTATATATAGCATGGTAAAAGAAAAGAAAAATCCAGAAAAAGTATTTTCATTATGCATTTACCCTCTCTAGTGAGAGGGAGCCAGGGCCCCTGCTATGTATTTCACAAGAGTTCCAACACCACGGTTTTGTCTTTTACTTTTTTATTTCTCTTTTGCTTTTACTCACAATGCTTGCTACAAACTACAATTGTGAAAATACGTATTTCTAGGTTTTTTCTCTTAATTTTTTCAGACCGTGGATAAGTTAAACCGTGGATACCATTCCACAGATATAAGAACATAAGAAGAGCCCTGCTGGATCAGGGCAAGAGTCCATCTAGTCCAGCTTCCTGTATCTCACAGTGGCCCAGATGCCCCTGGGAGCACACGAGACAACTAGATATGGGAGTCCTACTGCATTTAATGCATAAAATCTCTTTTGCAGTGTCTTTCGGTCTTTCCAAGGTAGAAGAAGCCAGTATGGTATAGTTTCAGGCTAGGGTTCAGGAGTCCCGAGTTCAAATAACCATGCAGTCACAGAAACTCACTAGAGGATGGTAGTAGTAGACCAATCCCAGAACATCTCACATACCTTGAAAAACTGATTAGGGTCTCCATTTTGCAGCAAATAACAAGGTGGTCTGTTTCAATTTAAAACTGTCAGAACTTCATGCAAATCAGAGTAAAATCAATCAAATTGCTCCACTGCAAAAGAAAAAAGGGAGTTGAAAGTCAATCCTAATGTTTGGTGAAACAAAATTATTTACTACTTGCTGGAAAGTTAGCAAGAATGGGACCAATTAAGCTCCCTGTGAGAATTCCATAGTCGATGTGCCACAACAAAAATGGTTCACACAATGCATTTCATTCCGTGTAGCCAGTGAAGGTGGATAAAAATCAATGATTTTTTTTATAGCCAGTGAAGGTGGATCAAAATCAATGATTTTTTAAAAAAAAAATCAAATTGATTTAAACCACAATTTAAATTTTTAATACATTTTTGATTTAAATCAACAAAAACATCCAATTACTTTGATATAAATGGTCACAAATCTTTAAATATCTAGTCCAAAACAATAAATAGCTTTACAGAATTCTCAACTATGAGTACTAAGTGACAGCCAGTGTGAATTGAGTTTAATGTTCTGTGTTCATCCCTAACGAAAATACCCTAATCAAGTGCTCTGCTGGAATTTCCACATTTTGAGACTTACAACAAACCAACACAGAGTGTATTGTAGCAATCTAACAAGGATCATATAACCAATGCACGAGTGTAGCAATCACAGTGAGCATGCCACTCAAAGCTCTTCTCCAGCAGCAGAGATAGGTCTAGTCTAGGAACATCCCCAAACTGCTCATTATTCAAGGCTGTGAAGTGAACACTTGTTCCAAATGTATCATTTCAGACCAGAACCATCTATCTTGTCTTGATTCTTAACCTGATGGCCAGTGGCTACGCAGGAAACAGACATGGATCTGATCTGACACCACGAAAGGCAACCTTCATCCTCCAGTGAGGGTGCAGTGGGATTAGGGACACTTCAAATTAGTAATAGCAAACCCACCTGACCAAAAAAGAAGTTTATGTCTACTGAAGCCTGCTTGTCTCTACTCAGTCACACACTCTCTGTCACTATATTTTTCCTGTCACTGGGTTACCTTACAAAAATAGTGCCTAAATTGGCATATGCGTTTATAAATACTGCAAAGCCACACCTGCTGCTTTATGCAAATCAGCCCCACCCCCAGTCATCCTCTTGGGCCAATCAGCCTTAGTGCCCCACCCCTGAGAGGCTCAGAGGGGCCGGCCCTCTGAGAAGCCCCACCCTCCACTCTACTCTGCCCTCCCTCTCCCCCCACAAGGGCTGCCTGACCCTTGAGGGGGCTTCCCGCTCTTTCCGGGTGGGGCTGGGCCAGGGAGGCAGTCGCCTCAGGCAGCAGAAACCGAGAGGCGGCAGGGGCCTCAGGATATTCCTCCAGACCTTTACCGCCCCCGCCTGAGGCCAGAGATTAAAATATTAAATACTAAAGAGATTAAAATATTAAAATCAACCCACCAGACACATTAAATGTTGAGTAAATACATGGATGAAATATAAAACTTAATAAGTAAAATTAACATTAAATAATGGCATTAAACCTTAACACTAAACGTTAAAAACACTTCAAAGAAATTAAACTACTTATTGCGATTTAAACAAATAAAACAAACATTAAATGTCGGCATTAAATAAAGACCCTAAACATTGGCAAACATATTTTAAGCAAAAGAATTCTTAAATATAGTAATAGAGTACTTGACAGCATCAAATGCGAAAGTTAAATAGAAGTAGGGAATGTTAAATAAATCATTTTAAACAAATGAAATAAAACACTGACTACCAAATAGATGGAAGGGTGAAATCCTTACCGAAATCAAGTATAGTATCGAGAACGGATAAATCTTTCCGTTCCCCTCAGCCTGCCCTTGAGGTGGCAGCGGCGGCGAAAACAACGGCCGCTTCCTCCGACTTTCGCCCCGGCTCCCCTCAGCGGCTGAGGGGGAGGAAAAAAAACACCGAGCCCGGGCCCATTCCTTTCTTTCGACGCGCGTCAAGAGAGGAGCAGAGGGGCAGCCTCCCTCCCTCCATTCGCTTCAGGGAGGTGGTGCCGCCAAACGCCTCAGAGCGCCCACGCGCGCGCGCTCTTCCCGCCTTTTGGGAGCCCTGAGGCGTTTGGCGGCGGCACCGCCTCCCCGAAGCACGCATGCGCAGAGGAGCCTCGGCCTCCCCTCAACTCCTGCGTCTCCCAAATAGGGCGCCTGCGCCTTACTGTCAGGGTTCGGCGCCTGCGCAGAACGGCTCCTGGCACTCTGAGGTAAAAAAAAAAGAGGGGAGTTAACGAGCGCCCCGGTTGTCGTCGTTTTGGCTCCGGAGCGCCTTCGCTGCCTCGGCCTCCCCTCTGCTCCCCTCAAGAGACCACGAAAGAAGGAGGAGGAGGAGGAGGAGGCGGCGCCGCCGTCCGGTAAGGGCCGAGCCGAGAAGGGGGAGGGGTGAACGGTCTCTTCCCTCCCCTCCGCCCCCCCAGCGACCCCAATTTCTCCTCAGGATGGGGGGAGGGAGGGGGGACGCCGCGTGGATCAAAGAAAGGGGGGCCGCGCTCTCGGATGCCCCTCCGCCTATTCCCGGGTTGGGGGGCTGCCCCTGCCCCCCCTTTAAATACATGGCATTGTTTACCAATACAGCTGCTCTGGCTTCAGGGTGGATTCATTCAAGGGCGTTGCCAAGACGGGGGTTCCTTTCAGCCCCAAAGGGGCCTCCATGGAAGAGGTGTGGGGGCAGTGACCATGGGGGGTGCCTTCCTGGCTTTCTCTTTTCCGGTTATTATGCCTTTTTATGGAGTCGCTGAAATAGTCCCCCAAGCGGCTCAGCTGAGAGGGGTTGCCTACTCTCGCCCATGGATGTTGCACGAGGAGGCTACGGCCTCCCTCTCCCCCCCCCAGCCCTTTCTTATTGTGAAAAGCAGCCCAAAACAGGCCCACCTGGCTTTCTCCAAATAGGTGACAGGTTCAGCAGTGCTAGTGGTTGGAGACAAAAATGGCAGGCTCCTAAGAGTTTGGTGGCAGCTTGCAAATTAAGGCTCTTTGGAATTTACCGGAGTCAGGATCCTGCTCAGGTACCACCTACACAATCGGGCTTAACTTAGTTAAGGATCTGCCTGGGAAGCCAGCAGTTAGGAGTCTGAGTCCTTCCTAAGAGAAAAGCCAGCCTGTTTAGCCTTCAGCCACTTGCACCCTGGCCCCCATGTTCCAGCAGAGGAAGAGAAGTGTAAGCTACATCCCAGTGCTTGATAGGTAGAAAATCCCCAGAAGGGTTGCCTTAAGTAAAAATTGTTCACAGGAATTGTTACTGCCTACTCCCATCTTCGGTGGCTTCCAGGTGCATTGGGTTAAATGTGCAATCATCCCCTACTGAAGGTGCTGTTTTGAGGAACGCTGATGTATACATGGATGACAGCAGCTTTACAGGTGGGCATCTTTCCCAGCACTTACTAGAGATGCTGTAGTTAAATCTGGGCCTTCCTTTAGATTTTGATGTCATGTACAGTGCAGGATGCTGTAGTTAAATCTGGGCCTTTAGATTTTGATGTCATGTACAGTGCACAAAGAATGGTTCATATGTGTTGCAGTAGTTCAAGTTAAATTCTGCATGCTGAGGGTGTGCTCTGCTGTTGAGCTTCAGTCTCTCATCAGTTCAAGTGGACTACAGTCTATGGATACTTTTGCTGTGGCAAGCATAGCAACTTAACAACCAAGCATATGTCTGAGAACATGCATTATAATCCACAAAAATCACACTAAATATAATCTATTACTCAAAGTTGCTATGGTACTTTAGCTTTTATTTTTGTAATGCTTTCTGAAACAGACTAACATGTCTACCTCTTAGAAAACCTATTTCATTTATTGAGCTATATACCCCCTTTCTCCAAAAGATGGGGCTGAAGACAGCTTATTAAATAATACTAAATAAAAATACAAACAAATAAGAGGGCCTGTTAGAATTACTTTAAAAGCTCATTTGAAATAAATGTGTCCCTATGAAAGGTACAGCTCCAGCTCTAAACATACACTAGTGTAGAAAAGAAAGGCATACAATACGTAATAAATACTACTACAGATATTTCAAAATTACTAGTGCGGTGGTTAAACTGCATTACTGCAATGAAGACTCTGCTCACGATCCAAGTTCAAATTTGGGCTGAGGTAGCTGACGTTGACTCAAACCTCCATCCTTCCAAAGTTGGTAAATTGAGTACCAGGCAGGGGGGTAATCTGTGGCCTGCATAATTAAATTATAAACCACCCAGAAAGTGGTTTAAGCACTATAGGTGGTATATAAGCAGCACACTTTTACTGTACTCCAGAAAGGAAGAGACTTGGAATATTGGGATGCTGATTTGTAGTGTTTTCACAATGGTTTTACTGACATCCCCAAAAGGATAGAGTACATTTATTACAGTAATATAGTACTTATTTTAGTTGTTCAAAGTATTTGTGAATTATATTAAAATACAATATTTACAGCAAACAACATGGCAGGATAGAAAAAGAGCTGTTTATTCTGGCAGGATTTTGGCAGTTGACTACTGCTGAGAAGAAGGGCCTTTGGATCAGAGGGAGGTATCAGTTACTGTTAATTTATATGTATGCTTTTACTCATGGTGTGAACTGCTTTGAGTCTCAGTTCTGGAAGCAAGATGGAATAAAAATCAGATACAGTGGCATGATATAATATTTTTATGCTCCTATTTTGGGGACTAGAGCAACAAAAACCAAGAGAGATGAACTTGCCTAAGGTAACAAAGCATGTGTATGGCTAACATGAGATTTGGGGATTTATCTGATGTAGTCAAAACTGCTGTCCAGCATCTTCTTTCAAAAGTAACCCTCCTGCGGAAAATAGGATGCTTCAAGAAAGTTACAAGCAGTGAGTAACAGTTATGGCTCTTCCCTCACACACACACATGCACCCAATGTTTGATAGTTAGAGACACATTGCATGAGTACATGGGGATGATAGACAACAGTTGTGTAGCTGATTGGAGTAGAACTGCCCTTCTTCTGCCTGAAGCATCCTGGGCAAATATTATCAGTTCAAGGGGCATATGACATTGGTTTTTCATCTGTGAATGGTGGGACATGTGGTTTACTCTAAAGTGGAAATCACTGGTATTCCAGTGAAATTTCTGAAATCATTTGAGCCCTTTGAGAGAATTCAAACATTCAGTATTTAGCTCATGTAAAAGAGCATCAAGTCTCCACATTTTCAGTACTATGCTCCCTTTTTGATTTTTGAGGAACTTTCAATACCTCTCCACCTCATTCAAATTCCTTTTAACAAAGATTCATCAATTTTCTTAAAAACCCACAAAAATTAGTTTAAAATGAGTAAGCGCAAAGTTTTTCTTGAGAAATGTTAAATTCTAGCGATAACACAGAAATATATTTAAACTCTTAAAAAAAATTTCTTTATAAAAACTTAACAGTGTTGCATCCCATTAAAATTTCCTCAAAGTCTCTTCCCCCCCCCCCCCCCCAAGTTTAGAAACTACTGTTTTGGAGGAAACCCTGACAGTTGCTGTAGAAGTTTTATTCCAAACCAGCTGTGAATAGATTGACCAAGCAACACTAGTGGCTAGAGGGTATTGATTTTTTCCAGTTGATGATTGTGGATGTAGATGCTTGTCTTTGAAGGCTCTCAAAATAATTGTTTTGCTTTGGGAGGAATTTTCATTGATTGTGTGTGTATTTTTGTTAGTGCTTCCATAACCCTTGGGATTGCTTCATCCTCCTTATTTACTTCCTCTTATGGTTTGACATCATTTTGGGTGCATGAGTCAGTTGAGTTTGCTATTATTGGATGATGATAATAACTGCATTTGAACCTCCTCTTAGTTTCAAATGCAGCTTAAGCTGGAGACTTGGATAGCTACTTTCAGAAAACAAAAACACTAAAAGACCATCCTGCGCATCAGAGCTACTTGTCTGCTTGCTTTTGATCTGGCCGTTATGTTTGTCTTGACTTTTTAAACATTATGCAAATTGGAGTATTATGTAAGTTTCTTTCTTATGCTTGTAAATTTGTAAACCATTCCCCAGTGATGTTAGTGTTGATTTTATGAGGCTTAACAGAATCTTGTATCTGTGATAGGACCTCAGATTTTTAATTTAAAGTTATGGTCTAGAACTTCTTCACATACTCTGTTTTCAGGCCATGCAGTTCTTTGGTTGCAACCCTGTTCCCCAGCTTGATGCTTGTCAGATGCTTTGGACAAAACTTCCATTGTCCATGAATTGGAGTTCAACTCATCTGTAGGACATAGGGAGTTGTTCATGTTCCCCTGGGAGTAAATGCCATGGAACCCAGTGTAATTTACTTTAAAGTAGGTATGTTTGTGCCATCAACTCAATTCCGACTGGTGGCAATCTTTTCCATGGTTTTCTCGGTAGAGGGTACTCAGAAGTGGTTCCCCATTCCCTTCTTTGGGGACACCCTCGGACTATGCAGCTTGCTCATGACTAGTCAGTTAAGACAGCTATGACACTCTGAAGTTTTGACCAGGTTATCAGAGGTGATATTTGATCTCTAAACTTCTGAAGTATGAGTTACATTGCTGGGAAGTCAGTTTATAAGCTAAAAGGTAAAAGCTTTTTCCTCTTGGGCTAGCACAGAAATATTTCAACAGCGTACCTTGAATTTATGCCTGGCATTCTTGGCATATAAAATGTAACCGTCTTAATTGAAAGTTACTAATGTGTTTTTTGAGATACATTCCAGGTTAAGAATGGGGCCAGAGGAGGGAGGAACTAACTATTAATGATATATATTTGACATCTCCACAGTTCACTGAGACAGTGTGAGCAGTTTGTGGTTCTCCAATTGTTACTGAATAATAGCTCCCATCAGCTCCAACCAGCATCATCAGTGGGGAAGGATGATAAAAGTTGCAATCCAGTAACCTTTGAAAAGCCCAGGATTGTCCTGTTAGGGTAATAGAACTGTGTTGATACTTCAGGCCATAGTTGCTCTCCTATGCTGTCTTGGTGTTAAAGATGTGTCATTTTGTACAGATTCCACTGTGTGGAATTTACTGCTACAGATAACTTTGATGGCATTATGACAGGTTGGAGGAACTGACTTCAGTCTGGTCGGATGTAGCCTGATTCTCCATTTGGCCCACAAGCTGCTTGTTTGAGGGCAGGAATGGGCAACAAGCAGTTCTCCAGATATTGTTGGACTCCAGATCTCATCATTCCTGCCAGCAAAAGCCATGGTGTGAAATGCTGGGAGCTGCAATCCAGCAACATCTGGAGAGTAACCTTTTGCTCCCCGCCCCCAAGTATAGTATTTAAAGGCTGGTAAAGTAGTGTAGGGAACTGAGCTTTGTGCTTTGCAGCTCAGGAAGGTAATGTACGGAGACTTAACCCATGACTAGACTTGCGTGAAATTGAGGTTTGATCTGTGGGCTTGGTGGCGAAATGTCCAGTTGGTAAGAATTAGGCTTTCCCCATCATTTCGCATGAATGCCTTCTTTTGAGAATTTCTTCCAAGATGTCCACTGGGCATTAAAAATATCTTCTGCATTAAATTATTGTGATAAGGCTTGATTGAAAAACAGCCTAATACTAAGGAGAGCAATTTAATGATGGCTCCTTCACTATTAGTCCTTGGTTTTATTACCGTTTTTCCCACTGTGAATGCCAGATACATTATTGTGTATAATAGTTTTAAATTTTTATTTAGGGTATTTGTGCTGTATATACATTTTTGATCTTAATAAGGTCCCCTTCAAGCAGTTATTTAATTCTTTTCTGAAAACTAAATATTTACAGGTTTGCTCTACTCATGTTTTACTTCTAAATAAGGAACTACTGTTCCTGGTTGAAGATGGTTCTTCCTATTTATCTGATCATACACATCAGATTACTGTATTAGAGTGTTAGGAAGCCGTGCATCAATAGTATAGTGACTTGGCTCCCATAAGCAAATGCTTCAAGGAATGAAGATTTCTGTCTTGCCAACTGGCAGTAGCAAGGTTCTTGTTTCTTGTAACGTTTTGGCTGTGCTGCTCTGTCATCCTAATGTTTATAAAATATTTTATTTCCAGATTAGTTTGTAAATGCATATCAAGCTGGTAGCCAAGAATGAAGAAAGCAAGCCGGAGCGTTAGTTCAGCGCCCAAAGTGCCTGGAATAAATAAAATACTACCGCTGGAAAAAGTCAAACCGGAAAACGGCTCCACAGTGTCTGCGGTGACGAAACTTTCAAAAACAGGGACAACACCATCGTTATTGAAGGTATCTCCAAATTATTTCCCCCTAATTACATTTGAAGTAATACGGTTGCTAGTGTACCTAGTTCTGGGGTAAAAAATGGGATGGGTAGAATCAAAGATGGGATTCCAATATTACAACAGTCTCTGGGGAGCTTCAGTTTAATCACTTTAAAATCATGTACGATTGAACAAAATATAAATTTCTTAAACAAAAGTGACATCCTGGTGCATGGTATGAAAGGGCCAGGTGTGGATTTGAATTGATGTTTCGTCTTCAATATTCCATCCTGATGGACCTGGCTAGAATCTTCGTAATGTTTCTCTGACCATTTCTAGTTGTCTTTGTAACAGGAGAAAAAACAGGAATGTATCATTGAGGGGTTTGTCCAATAATGGGCGTCCAAGTACTTTTCTCTTGAGCACTCCAACTGGTTTCATTGTAAGGTCATAATATGCTTTCCTACTAGGTTCCCATGTGATTCAAATTCACCCTCTGTCATTGCCTGCAGAATGACAATCCAATTAAGTGTGCATGGGTGTTCCCATTGCAGAAAGGTTTTTAAAACTTTGTTAAGTACTGCTTGTGATTATTTGATTTCATGGTGGTGTGTTCACGGTTTTTAAAAAGCAGTTTTATTTTGTTTTGTATATATTCATGTCCTTCTGTCTTTTAGATGACTGACATTTTTAAACTGGATGTTATTTGGTACCATTCATTTCTGTAGAATGCTGATGAACTATGGCACCTAACAGGCCAGTTTTGACCTCCTGTGTCTAGTGCTCAGGACACCTCTAAATTCAGTCTTGTCTCCGCAGTGCCTCATGAGTTAGTGAGATGCTGATGAGTTCACATAGCTATTGCCACAGTTGCTTAAAACTAACAGAAAGGCAAGTCTGCCATCCCATTTCAACTTCCTTTTTATTCTGGTTTGTGGGTGGCCACAGGCTAGCTTTGATGGGTCACATTGTATCAGCCCAAGTTAGATTGCCTTACTGATGTATCTGTCTTGTTTCTAAAATGATACATTCAGTAAGTAGTTATCATAAAAATTGAAAACTTCCTGCAGTTAAAAACGTTGTTCTGAACTGTTGACATAAATGGATCTGTTACACTTAAGGAAGTTCAACCTATCAGTCTCTGGTAAGATTGTATTGATTATCCAGAAGATACAAGAGGCAAAACCAACAGATGCAAAACAGATTTTAGTACGCAGTGCCATTGTGAAGGAAATAATTACCCCCTGTAGCAATTGATCCTTCCTGCCAGTTCTTGCTTTCTGTGTTTTTATTAAAAACAGCATCCCCATCTTCTCTCTCTCTCTCTCTCTCTCTGCAGCACAATATTAATGTTTGCTGTAATGTGACAGAAACCATTTAGCTGGCTGTGGGGCGGGGTGTGTGTGCCAGACGGGATGAGACCAAACAGTCTCTGGGCAAGACAACAACTGCAACAAAAGATACTGTTTTATTTTTTCATATATTTTATTTATATGCCCTTTCTTTCAATAAGAGGCCCAAAGTAGCTCGCAACAATTAAAACTACATAATGATCACAGTTTTAAAAATATCATTAAAAACTATATTAAAACAGTTAAGCATTTGTCAATATTAAAGCCACAAGTAAAAAGAAAATTTAAAACATTTAAAAATCTCTGGACTAGTAATAGAATATTTGTATGATACTGTGTTTAGGTAAGACAGAGGTTCACAAATGTTTTCTTTTTTCCTTCCCTTTTTAGAGTCTCTTAGAAAGGGAACAAATTTGACCTCCAAGCACAAGAGTTTTATAATAGATTTTTCCTCTATTCTTCCAGTCTGCTAGTTAAACTGTGTCCATATATCCATGTGTAGATATACAGAGCCCTGAGAGAGAAATCCTTGAATCCTTTCATTAGGTTTAGGATTTGGAAGGCTGGAGCATGACTAATACTGTTAAATATTTCCAGTGTAGATTTTTCCAAGCTGAGTCACGCTAATGTTTTACAACCTGACCAATTTGGCACAGTAAAGCATGCTTATTACCTACATAGCATGTCTATAATTAATTTGCTCAACTCTTCGTCCTAGGTGTGGTGGAAATGCAGGAAGGTTAACATGTATGGGCTTGTAGGCGCAAAGCTGTTAGTTTTACTAGACAAACCACAATCCCAACATTATCAAAGGACGTGCAATTTGCTCCATTGTATTTCTGTGAACCATTAATTCCTTGAGTAGTTAAACATCATGAGACTTTGCTGCAGTAGATTGAATGTGAATGTTTCCAGCTGCTAATAATGCAGAGCTAGAACAAGAGAATATTCTGAAAACATTTTGTGGAGAAAAGGCTTAAATATATTTTTTTAACAAGATATCTCTTGGGGGGGAAACAAATACAGAGTGAAAATGAAAATTGTGTTATGTGATAAAGTGGATGGAACATATTTCTGTTTTGACAATAGCTCTGTGTTTTTAAGGCAAAATAATCTCAAAAGTAAAAACAGACATAACATCACAAATGAAATGTGACATAAGCATAAGCAATAAACCAAATCTAGAAATATTTCATAATGAAAAGACTAGATAACCTGTACCAAGTGAAATATTGGCCAGTATCTTGTTTCAAATGGACAGAATGTAACTTTCTGCCCATGAAACTCCTGCATGATTTCCAATTTTCTGTAGCATCAGCAGAAGTTAGCCTGTTCAAAACAATTGGAGCGCCTATTGTGCAAATGGTCAATAAGTGCCCGCCCACCCCCACAGACGCTGTAAGAGCACAAGGGCTTGCACAACAGACAGTTGCCAGAGCAGAAGAAGTGAAAAGGAATGATTATTAGCTTTATCTGCCACTTTGGCAGCAAATATGATACTTCTGAGGGCCAGTCCAGGGCACATCTTGCTGGGTCATTCACTCCAGGCAAGTGGGTCGGCTGTTGGCTGAACCAGCCACACCTAATTTAATATCAGACTCGGAAGAAGGCCTAATCTCCAGACATCAGAAATGTTGGTTTTTGGAGAAAAGTAGCCCAGTTAATTAGAACCAGCTCTTGTCTTGTCCATAGATGTGTACTGTGGAGTTTTTCAAAAATGTGATCATATCTCCCTGCCCTCCACAAGTTTAACAGCTGCCTTCCTTTCTTGTTGAAGTTTGCAAGTGCTTTCCAAGGGCACCCTGCCCTCAAGTACAATGCAATCGTGCTTCTTTTCCATTGCAAGGCATGAATAACAACTTGTGTATAAAGCAGGCCTGATAAATTGGTACACAGGCAGTTCTTGGTGGGACCTGGTTGTGCTGCCCAGCCACCCGGGAGTAAACTACAGTTGATAGCCTTGGTCCTTCAAGATCTTGTTGAGTTACAGACAGACATGCTGGGCTTTGGGAAAAGACTGGAGTCTGATTGTCTTCTTGGATGCCCTTACCTGGCTTCTACTGTGTCCTCCGAAGGCAAAATAAGTTGCAGCTATCAATTGCACACGGCTGCATCCAGCGACTGCAGGGGCTGGAATCTGAAACATTGCTGGGACAGACATCAGGAGTTGTTTTGTGTGCTCTTCCCTTTTTATACTACAGTTGTGAAGCTAAGGATGGCTCAGATCAGTTTCTATGTGCAAGTGATATCCTGCTGGCTTCATCCTGGGTGGAACTTTAATCTGTACTTCTCCGATTTCTAACAGTATAATGTAAGGATAAATCATAAGCCCAGTTTCCTTATCCACTTTTAAAGGAGAAGCAGTATAGGTAGGGATTTGAGGACAAGATGGTGATGGAGAAGCAGCTGTTTGTCTTTTATTTTGTTTTATCCACTTTGTCCCTTCTTATTCTTACTCTTTTTTAAATTGCTGTTTTGTTTTGTTTGTGAGCTTTAAAAGACAGAGGTCCACTGAACAGAGTGTTAAGTGTTGATTAACCCTGGATCCTACTGCTAGTTTTATATGGGAAATCAATCCGTTTTGTACATTGCCATTGAGACATGTTCTTTCTGTTGTTTGCATTTCCTGCCCAATCTCATCTCTGCTCCAGACAAAGAGCAATGATGATCTTCTAGCTGGGATGGCTGGTGGAGTTACTATGAGCAACGGTGTCAAGGGGAAAAAAAGCACTTGTAGTTCCACGGCACCTTCTGCAACAGGGACCATCATGAACAACGCAGAGAACAAAGCCAAGCCTCTGACAGGTAAACAACCAGCAGCCTGGAAGACAATCTCTCAGCAGTGGAAGGGATGGAGGCAGGTGATGCCCCCAAAAGCAAAGGTTGGGGCTGGCTTTCAAGAGGGGCCCTTGCGCCTTCCCTCTCATGACTTTATAGAAGAGGACTAGAGTCAGTGGCCTTGAACACATGTTTTAATAGGCCCTTGGCATACAGCTGGAAAATCCACACAATTTTTTGGTCTAGATGGCTGTTTAGGAATTTGGCAGTGGAGTTTTTAGCTGACACTGTGCAGGAAGGATTACTAGAAGCCTAAGGTTGCTGAAAGGGTTGGTGCCTAGCTGGAGATCTAGGCTCAGGGAGACCCAACCTGCTTTTCCACTATTTTTTAGCTTATCACTTCTTTTGCCTGTGAGGGGTTTATCCAGCCCAGCCTCCCCCACTGTAGACCTTTTGATGAGATAAGAAATGTTACAGTGTAGAATATTCTGTATTGTGTATGAACTGCCCATCCAATTTAAAGAGGCCTCAGTGTCATATATTTTCCGAGCAGAGCATACCCTGGTGGAACATGATCTTTGTTGAAATAAAGTATGCATGAGTGGCTTCTAATGGATGAAAGTTTTTTCAACAGACAGTGCCATGCCTGCGATGCTAAAGTAAGTGAGAGAATTGACAGGCAGTTCCTAAGCCTTGTTAGATGCTAGCCACAGCTGTGCATCAGTAAATCCCAATGTGCAATTAAAATGTCATAGTCTGATTTATTTGTGCTAAAATAAATGAGATATTGAAGCCAATGTATACCGGCACACAAGACTTTATTTTGACAGATAAGAAGCTTTCTTAGATAAAATGACTGCAAATGACTGTTCATGTCTGTCCTTCACAGACAGCAATCTTGCATGTCTCCTACTTGTCCTCCAATTTGGGGTACTGGAGGGAAAGAATGGGGATACCTCCCTGTTTGGTAGGTGGTTTTATTGGAAAGGATGCTGAATCAAGGCATCTAAGCGCTAAGGAATTAATATATTTTAACTGACTTCGTTTGCTTAGCAATGCTCAGTTTGAGGACATTTACTCTGAAAATGTGACATGCAAAGACTGCTTTCAACATTGTCTGAGAGTGAGAATCATATGTCTCCTTGGAACCCAGAAAAAAACCCCATCACTCCTCAAAAATGGCAGGTGCAGGCAGAGGTCCAAAGAGAGGTGTAGAAAGGGATGGAAGGGTCCCTTGGACACGATTTTGCTGCCTGCTCCGGGTTAGACTACAGTTAAAGTGGGTTTCCAAATGTTTACTTGTAAGAGGAACAAAAAGCCAGGGGTTGTAGTGAGTCATAATAATACACTTCTCTGTCTTGTTAAGTTCCAAGTTTGTTTAGCTACTTCTACCTGCAGAACATGCCTGACAGGAACAGTCATAAGCACACTTGCTTGTGAACAATCAATTACATTTTTGAAGAATTCTATTCTAGCCTTTTATGTGAAGATCATTAAATCATGACAAATAATGTTAGAAGTGAATTTGGATCCTTTATCCATTTTAATGAATAATGTCTATATATGCAATCTGCATAATTCATTTATCTATATGTAGATAATTTGTAGTCATGCAATCCTGGGAACCTTGTATAAAATATAAATGGCAATTTAATGGTTTTCTAAACTTTTAAAACAATACAGGTACAAATTCTACAGCTAAACGTAGCACTTCCTCGGGAAATAAGGAGTCCAGCTCTTCTCGGGAAAGGATCCGTGATCGTTCCCGACTGACGCAAAGCAAGAAGTTGCCCTTGACTGGGCAGACGAGCAATGATACAGTCCTTGCAAAACGCTTCCGTAGCCGTACAAATCCAGATCCTGACATTCGCATGAGTAAGTCAAAATCCGACAATCAGATCAGTGACAAGGCTGTTTTGGAAGCAAAAGTGAAGGATCTTTTGACTTTGGCCAAAGCAAAAGATGTTGAGATCTTACACCTGAGGAATGAACTGAGAGAGATGCGTGCCCAGCTAGGTCTCAACGAGGACCCATTTGAGGGAGATGAAAAGTCTGAGGAGAAAGAAGTCATTGTTGCCCACCAACCAACAGATGTGGAGTCCACATTACTGCAGTTGCAAGAGCAGAACACTGCCATCCGGGAGGAACTGAGCCAGCTGAAGAATGAGAATCGGATGTTGAAGGACCGATTGAATGCCCTGGGGTTTTCTCTGGAGCAAAGGCTTGACAACTCTGAAAAGCTGTTTGGTTACCAGTCTTTGAGCCCAGAAATGACCGCCGGAAGTCACAGTGATGGTGGGGGCACCCTTACTTCCTCAGTAGAAGGTTCTGCCCCTGGTTCCATGGAAGATCTTCTGAGTCAAGATGAGAACACCTTGATGGACAATCAACACAGTAATTCCATGGATAACCTGGACAGTGAATGCAGTGAAGTCTATCAGCCACTCACATCTAGCGATGATGCCTTAGATGCACCGTCCTCTTCAGAGTCAGAGGGGGTGCCCAGCATAGAGAGGTCAAGAAAGGGGAGCAGCGGCAACGCCAGCGAGGTCTCTGTGGCTTGTTTGACTGAACGTATCCACCAGATGGAAGAGAACCAGCACAGCACGGCTGAAGAGCTTCAGGCAACCCTTCAGGAACTTGCAGACCTGCAGCAAATTACTCAAGAGCTGAATAGTGAGAATGAAAGGCTTGGAGAGGAAAAGCTTATTCTGATGGAGTCCTTGTGCCAACAGAGTGATAAGTTGGAACACTTTAGCCGACAGATTGAGTATTTCCGCTCCCTCTTAGAGGAACATCATATATCCTGTGTTACCGACGAAGACATGAAAAGTGGGCGCTACATGGAGTTAGAGCAACGATACATGGACCTTGCAGAAAATGCACGTTTTGAAAGAGAGCAGCTTCTGGGTGTGCAGCAGCATCTGAGCAACACATTGAAGATGGCGGAACAAGATAACAAGGAAGCCCAGGAGATGATTGGAGCCCTGAAGGAGCGGAATCACCACATGGAACGGATAATGGAGTCCGAACAGAAAAGCAAGGCTGCTCTTGCGGCCACGTTGGAGGAATACAAAGCCACCGTTGCCAGTGACCAGATTGAGATGAACCGTCTGAAAGCGCAGCTGGAGCATGAGAAGCAGAAAGTCACCGAGCTCTATTCCATACACAATTCTGGTGACAAATCTGACATACAGGACTTGCTCGAGAATGTCAGGCTGGACAAGGAAAAAGCAGAGACCTTAGCCAGTAGCCTGCAAGAGGAGTTAGCTCATACGCGTAACGATGCCAATCGCCTGCAAGACACCATTGCCAAGGTAAAGCTTTTTAAAAGTGTAATGGAACAGAGAGAAGCCTCTTGAGGGCAGTGGAAGGGGGAAACAATGGATTCAGAGTTTTGCCCAATTATATTGACTAGATGGTTATATTGTGTCTTCCCATTTGTGAGGTTGGTTATTAATGGAAGATTTGACCTCCTATTCCTTCTACACATTGAGTTAATGTCGGTAAGTCATGTCAGTATAGCTATATTTTTAGTGAAAGAAACTTGTTTCTTATGGCCTTTCATCCCCAAGGCAGTGCTGCTGGTAGCCATTGGATCTGAAGAGGTCGTGTGCCCCTGCCGTGAATGCTTGCAGGGGGAGGAGAGCAGGGTTGGTTGGTTGGTTTTTAATTCCCCAGAGGAAGCGTGGCCATTGCTTCTCCTCCTGTCTTCTGGGCCTGCAGAGATCTTGACATGATGCCTCAGAGATCTTGACGTGAGGGCTGTCCTTAGTTAAGAGACGGCTTTCACAGTCAGAGTCTTGTTTGGAAGAGGCACGTGGAGCAATGGAGGATGAGTGTGTGAAACCTGTTTCTGTTTTCTCAACTAGCTAGAAGATGAATACAGAGCTTTTCAAGACGAAGCAAAGAAACAAATTGAGGACCTCAATACAACCTTAGAAAAACTTCGGACAGAGCTGGAGGAAAAAGAAACAGAAAGGAGCGATATGAAGGAAACCATCTTTGAATTGGAAGATGAAGTGGAGCAGCATCGAGCTGTGAAGCTCCATGACAACCTCATCATATCTGACTTGGAGAGTAAGGAGAGCCTCTCTCGAGCTCCGATGGGCATCCCTCTCTGGGGAATGGTTTTTTTTTTTAAAGCTACAACAATTACAACTGTTTATAGTAGATAAAGGATGTTTAAGAAAATATTTTTTAAAGAAAAGAACAAAATAAGACAATAGTTGTATTCGTGAAGGCTTTCATGGCCGGGATCTAATGGTTGTTGTCGGTTTTTCAGGCTCTTTGGCCATGTTCTGAAGGTTGTTCTTCCTAACGTTTTGCCAGTCTCTGTGGCTGGCATCTTCAGAGGGCAGGAGTAGCACTCTGTGCTCTGGTGCAGTTTGTTTGGGAGTTGAGTATTTATAGTTGTGGGATCAGCTTTTGTCCTTTTCAGGAGATGGGTGATTATGGTGATCTGTGTGTAGGATGGCTCAGGACATTTCATAAGCAAGATCAGCACCCTAAAATTCAACCCTGGGGACAGACTGATCAGCTTTGACATAGTATCCCTGTTCACTAAGGTACTGATAAAGGACACTCTGACACTCATCCAGCAGATTTTTCCAGAAGATATCAAGGCTCTTTTCCAACACTGCCTAACAACCAGCTATTTTCAATGGAATAATGAATTCAATGAACAGACAGATGGAGTGGCCTTGGGGAGCCCTCTCAGCCCGGTTATAGCAAACTTCTACATGGAGCATTTCGAAAAACAGGCCCTGGCTTCGGCACCCTTCACAACCACAGTCTGGGTCCAATATATGGATGACACTTTTGCAATTTGGAACCACGGTGAAGAAAAATTGGTAGAATTTCTAAACCATCTCAACAGCATCCACCCAAATATACAATTCCCCATGGAAAAAGAAATAGAGGGTCAAATCCCTTTCTTAGATGTCATGGTCATACAGAAAAGTGACCTCCTATTGGGACACAAGGTCTACAGAAAACCCACCCACACAGACCGGTACCTATACAAAAACTCCAATCACCACCTATAGCAAAAAAGAGGCATTATCAAAACACTGGTAGACTGTGCAAATTGGAACTGTGAAGTTCAATTTCTCAGTAGCAAACTCAACCATCTGAATTGGGCCCTACAGGCAAATGGCTACTCCAAAAAACTGCACCAGAGCACAGAGTTCTGACTCCTGTCCTCTGAAGATGCCCATGGCCACAGAGACTGGCAAAACACTAGGAAGAACAACCTTCAGAACAGAGCCAAAGAGCCCAAAAAACCCACAACAACCAAAAGTATTACACTTAATGCCTCTATCAAATGGATTTATGTGTGCATAGTTAACTCTTCATGGTTTTATTTTGCCAGATACTGTCAAAAAACTTCAGGACCAGAAGCATGACATGGAAAGAGAGATCAAGGCTCTGCACAGGCGGCTGAGGGTAGGGAACCCTGCTTGATTCAATGCATTTATATGGTAATGGGGGTGCGTGAGGGGCAGGGTGAAGGTGAAGGTGAGGTCTGTCAGTGCCTCTGGAAGGTGTTGTCTCGCTAACTGCCACTTACAGGTGGATAGATTTAGTCCATTTATAGCTCATCACATTTTAGTCATGGAGTCCAAGGAAGATTGTTTTTTTTACTCAGTTCTTCTGATATTTTCCTGATTTCCAGGAAGAATCTGCAGAGTGGCGGCAGTTCCAAGCTGATCTACAGACTGCAGTGGTCATAGCAAATGACATAAAATCTGAGGCCCAAGAAGAAATTGGCGACTTAAAACGCAGGCTTCATGAAGCTCAAGAGAAGAACGAGAAGCTCACAAAAGAGTTGGAAGAAACCAAATCACGCAAGTAGGTTCATGCAAGCAGGATTCCCTTAAATGTTTTTAAAGTTTTTATAGAAAGCCTTCGCGAATACATTTTTAAAGATTAGTTTCTTACATTTCTGAGAGAGGGACGTCAGCTGCCTGAAATGTTTCTTTCAGCAAAAAAATACTTCTAAGTGCCTGAAAGCCTAAGCTCCTGTACATCCGGAAAGGAGGCTGCAACCTGCATTCATTCTCAAGGCTCCTTATGCATCCTTTCTTTGGAGGAGATGTGAGGAAGAGGCATGTTGGCAAAAGCCTCCTTTCCCTCTGCTCGGCAGCTTCAGCAGTCCACTGTGGTCCTGGTGCAAGTGCTGTCTTTCTTTGCCCAGCAAGAAGCAGGGTCTTTACCTCCACAAAAACCATCCCCCCCCCCTGAAGAAATAAGGCCTGGCAGACTTGTTTTTGGATGAGGCTTCCTTCCTGGCTTTCTTCCTACAGCCCACTTTTTCCCATCAGTGTTTGGGAGCACGTTTTTGCTGGGTCTCTCCATTAGCATAAACTGGAACAAAAGCTCATATAAGAAAGCTCCTCTCACCTCTAGGTTCTTGAGCACTCTCTTAGTTATTTTTTCCACAAACTCCCCAAACCCCAAAACACTGAAGGAGTAAATGAAGCAGGCCTATTTTTGTCTTTTTCATCACTCAGGGTACAGACCTTGAATTGGCAGCAGGCAGAGATCATTTGCTGGAGTCAAGGCTGGAGAGGTTGACTGTGAATTGTGATTGCCAGGTTTGCGGAGCTGAGAGGGATGCCCAAGTGCTGCATTTGCTTCCTCAGGAGCCTGCAGAGTTTTCCTGTTTTCCCACTTTGGCCGTCTCTTTCCAGGCGTACTGCTCATCTTCACCCTTCCCTGTAAAAAGAAAGAGAGAATGAGTGTGTGTCTGTCTGTCTTTTGAGCCCTTGTGCCTCCCCCTTCACTGTTTCAGTCTGGCAAAAGACGCTTCATGGAGTCTGCTTTTTATAGAATCTTGGCACTTCTCTTTATTTTGAGAAAAGGCAAGTCGTTTGCCCAAATTTTGGGCTCTTGGCTTAAGAACAAGCAGAAGCAGAATCCCAGCGGGGAATGAACGGAAGGACCAAAGCAATCTGAGGGTGGAGTTGTTGCTCCACTTCACTTTCCAGAGGCTTAAAATGGCACATTCTCAATCCCTGCTACTTCACTTCATTGTTAAGGTTGTTTTGCCAGTTGGGCCTGCCTTGAAGAGCAGGTGAGCTCAGGGCTCCCCCCAGTGGGCTTGGGAAGGCATGGCCCAACTTCTTCCAGGGCAGCTGTTGGCTCTTTCTAACAAGCCTTGTACTAAGTGTTGTGAGCCTTAAGGAAAGCAGCTTTAAGGGGGAGAGCAGCTAAACTTGAACAGTCCCTTTCTGACCCGGCGTGCTGACCCAAATGTTGCTGAGACTGCTTCTGTAAAAGGGCACAACCTTAGGCCGTTTAATGCTGCTCTGTGGATGCCCCATCGTCATGCCCCTTGAAAGCTCCTGGAGTAGATGGGGAAGGGCAGATGCAAAATAGGGGGAGGCTGCTGCTTTGCTCTGAAATGTTTCTCATTTTCTCTCTGACTCCATTTGTTAAGCCTGTCCCAGCAGCAGCATGTGCGGACATTCTGCTTGCCCACTTCTCCTTCATGTTTTCTCTGTTTTGACTTTTTCACACAAAGGCATTTGTCGCTTCAGTAAGTTCCTGAGGGCTTCTCTTGCTGAAGCCAGGATGATAAATGTATCCCATAGCATTCTGATCTCTAAGTTCTGTTTATTTCTCTCCAGCCCATAGACATTTGTAGTTTATAAAGGAATTTGGTGTCTTCGCCCACCCACAAATAATATGTCCTCTTTTCAAATTATGTTTCAAGCTTTTTGGGGGGCTTATTGTTTGCCTGCTGAAAGCTAGATTCCGAAGGTGGCAGATGCCCTTCAGGTGCATACTGATGGGTGGGTGGGTAAGACATAAAACATTTCCTAGCCTGTTAACACCCTGCCTCATTCTGGTCTTCAGGCAGGAAGAGGAGCGTGGCCGAGTTTACAACTACATGAATGCCGTAGAAAGAGACTTGGCAGCTCTAAGGCAAGGAATGGGGCTCAGCCGCAGGTCATCTACTTCCTCAGAGCCAACACCAACGGTGAAAACGCTCATCAAATCTTTTGACAGTGCCTCCCAAGGTAATGTTTTTTTTTTTAATGGAACCACATAAAGTTCTGTTTGTTAATTCTTTGAACAGAAAAAGCATTCCTATAGTAAGATTCATACAAAAGAGTTCCCAGCCAGGTAAGAGGCATTTTGAAGAGATGCACGTTAATGTATGCTCCAGTTTCAGAAACCAAAAATCTTGCGCCCCTGCTCCAGCAATCCTGTTCCTTCTAAGATTTTCTGTGTCTGGCAAGTTTTGTTTCTCTACATTTTAAGCCACCTTTTAAATTTATTTATCTTTGTATGTGTTTGTCTGTCTTCGCCTTGTTCTTATTGTATTGGTGCCCATGTAGTTGATTATTGTTCTTTTGCGGGTTGGAATCATGTGCATGTCTGAGTTACAAAAACTATAAAAGCTGTTGACTAAAAACGTCCATGTTAACTTGAATTAAGGGTTACAGAAAGGCACATCATGTAGATTGTGAGCATCACGTGGTGGGAAATCCATAACTTTCTCATAATATCAGTTTACAGTGGTGCCTCAACTTACGAACTTAATTGGTTCCGGAACTTGGGTCATAACTTGAAATGGTCGTAAGTCGAAGCACTCTTTCCCATAGGAATGCATTGAAATGTGATGAATCCGTTCCGGCTGAAAGAAGAAAAGCAAACAAACCATGCAAGACCCTTTCAGAAATGCAAAAAAAAAAAAAAAAAAAGGAAAGCAAAATGGAAACAAACCATGCCAGACCCTTTGGGGGAAAAAACCCCAAAAAGCAAACGAACCCTGCAAGACCCATTGGAAACAAGACCTCACCCCCCAAAAACAAAGTCCCACCACAGCACAGAAACACAACACCCCCCAGCCCAAAACCATGCTGAAAAAACACCCAGAACAGTTTTTTAAAAGCTGCCTTACCAGGCAGTCCGAAGCCTCCTCCGATCCCACACTCTAACTGCTGGGGTGAAAGAGCTACAAAGAAGCAGCCTCTTCACCACCAACTGTTAGCAATTTGAATTCCCTGCCTTTTTCCCTGCCTTTTTCTGTTCATAACTCAAAGCTCCGGTTGCAAGTAGAAGCAAAATTTTGTGGCCGGAGGTAGTCATAACTTGAAGTTGAAATGGTAAGTCGAGGCACCACTGTATGTACTTTGTATACTATAGCCAGACTGGTCTAACCTCCAGATTCTGTGAATGTAATAAATGACTGCCAGTTCTGAATCATTCTGTGTATATGAAAAAAAAAAAAAAACTCAAGAGATTTTACTCAGAAATGTTAAAGATAAAAAAAACTATTATTGTTCCTCTTTTTTTCTTTCCCTTTAGTTCCTAGTCCTGCAGCAGCTACAATTCCTCGTACCCCCTTGAGCCCGAGCCCTTTGAAAACCCCTCCAGCAGCTGCAGTGTCCCCAATGCAGGTGAATGTGTGAAGAGCACCAGGCCCCCCTCCCTCTCCTGCAGGCCACTGAGCCCTAAGCTGGGCTATGAGGGCTTCAGCTTCACTGGTGGGAGTGCCTCTCTGAGTTGTTCTTCCAAAGTTCAGAGTCATAATGCTTAAATTGTGAGCTAATTTATAGTTACCATTGTCTCCTTTATTTTAACAATAATTGGTTTTGTTTCCTTTTAGAGACATTCCATCAGTGGGTCAATTTCTGCTTCGAAGCCCCTCACCACTTTGTCAGACAAACGACAGAGCTATACAGAAATTCCTGTTCAAGGTACTAATCTTTCTGTGTCATCATTCTTCCGTTATGTTCCTGTAGTGCTCGTCAGCTGCTGCCTTTAAGTTAAAACAAATGACAACTTGAATAGAAGAAGACTGAAGAAGGGTCTCTTTTGCAGAAACAGAGAGAGCAGCTCTTTTTCTCTAGGTTTTGCCTGTTTGTATCTGGGGCGTGTACATTTGGCCCTGCCTCCTCTGGCAGGTGCCCTGCCTCCTCCAGTCACTGCTTCTGAGTGGGCACCTGCTGGAGGAGGCAGGCTGGTAAGTGTCAAACACCTGTTTCTTCTCTGTTCTTTTGATTTTTGCTTGCTTGGGGGAAGCCAAGTGACCTGATAGAACTTGAGGGCAACCTGGTCTTGCCCCAGCTTCGCTGTCTCCAGAACCACAGATCAACTCCCCTGTGAAAGTGTATTCGGACATTAGATGGGAATGAAATAATATGGTGACCTCTTTAATACATGTAAAGAATCTCTCAACAAAAAATAGGCTTGCAAGCTCATGAACATGCATTTCTAGCAAAACATGTGCACCATTCTCCCAGTGTCCCATTTGTCCTTTGAAGCACTGCTAAGTGCACTCACTGTAAGAAGGGTGGTGGTGAATTGCTGGAGGTTTCTGTAACACAGCACCATGGGGAGGAATGGAGGTTTTAAAACTGATAAATTTGTTTTGATTTGAACTTGAACATTGATTTGAACAAAGGATGATTAAGGATCAGAAAGGTGAGGGAAATTGTGTTTCATCTTCATGTTTCTTGGTGGAATTTTCAGCTGGCTTCCTTGGAGCCAGACCTCCCTTCTCTCCGTTAAACACCGTATCACCAACTGCCTTGAAAGGAATTCCACTGGTTTCAGGAGTTACCAGGCCCTATTCGGTGCATCCTACGGTCAGATTTCCTTTGGGTAGGAAGGACCAGCTGCATGGTTCTTTAGTTTCAGCCCTAAGTTTCTCCTATTATTAATTCTGTGGCTTTTGTAGCCACACACAGGCCCTCCCTTTAACAAAAAGGAAAAAGACATTAGAAAGCTGCTTTTGTATTGCAGCAACATGAATTACATACCTAGTGTTTATTTCTCCATTTCCTAATATTTCTCTAGTGCTGGTAGCATTGTTTTGCTTGTAAACGTTCCCTTCAAAGTGCCCTTCCTGTACAAATGAATCGCCCTCTTATTACTGGGTGTAGTTCTTTGATTTATATTGAGGGCTTTTAAAATAGAATTTTCTCAAGAATAGTTTTCCTATGACCAGAGCCATCAGTTTGCTTTTTAGCTTGACAGAGGTCAGCTGGAGCCTTACATTGTAAAGCCTTCTCAGGCTTGCAGGAATGGTTTGAGTTTGATCATCTTTGGCTCTTCTTTGAACAGCCGTGCACTGGAAAGGAAGCATAAAGCCAAGCTTACATTTAAGGAAACTGAAAAGGATAAATCCCTATGTAGGAGGTGGCCAGCCTGTGGCATTGCTGTAAGGTAAAGATAAAGGTTCCCCTTGACAATTTTTATCCAGTCGTGTTCGACTCTAGCCACAGAGCCAACGTTTGCCCGAAGACAATCTTCCATGGTCACATGGCCAGTGTGACTTAGACACGGAACGCTGTTACCTTCCCACCTAAGTGGTCCCTATCGATCTATTTATTTATTTATTTATTTATTTATTTATTTATTTATTTATTTATTTATTTATTTATTGTATTTATACCCCACCTATCTAGTCATTTTGACCACTCTAGGCG